GAAAGACTAGAGAATACACGTGTACATACTGCCTCTTTAAGTCAAGATTATAAAGGGTAACTTTAAAGAATATTTACGAAATTTTAAAACGTAGAACTTTCTTATGTCTTAATATGGCATCTAGGACTTCCCTGGTGGCACAGTGGTTAAGAATCTGCCTGCCAATGCAGGGGACACGGGTTCGAGCCCTGGTCCAGGAAGATCCCATGTGCTGCGGAGCAACTAAGCCCATGCGCCACAGCTACTGAACCTGCGCTCCAGAGCCCGCGAGCCACAACTACTGAGCCGGCGTGCCACAACCACTGAAGCCGGTGCGCCTAGAGCCCGTGCTCCGCAACGAGAAGCCACCATAATGAGAAGCACGTACACCACAAAGAAGAGTAGCCCCCGCTCACCCTAACTAGAGAAAGCCTGTGCGCAGCAATGAAGACCCAATGCAGCCAAAAATTAATTAATTAAAAAAATATATGGCACCTAGATGGCAATTTCTGACTTGGCCTCTCCCTGCTTCCCACAAAGCATACATGGAGACATTGAAAGTGATGAAAAGCCTTAACACTGAGATCTACCACTGGCAATGCTAGATTCCGGGGGTGGGAGGGTACAGAATTTCAATCAACTACCATGAAACTCAACTGTGAATCATAATTTAAGGACCAAAGCTTGTCTGTAGCTTGAAGTAAGGCAGAGCGACCAAGTCCGGGGCCTCAGCCGAGAGACGCAAAGTTTGCGTCTCAGAACACGGCAGAACAGAACCCAGCTGGCTGTCTCTGCCTCTGGAAGCAGCCAGTGCACTCTAACCCCAGTACCTCTGTTTCCAGGACATTCCGAGAGTCCCCCAAAACTACAGGGCAAGTGGTGAAGGGGAAGCAGCACACGTGTCAAGGGAACTCACTCACAGCACACTGGGAAGTGCAGCTCTGATTCCTAATATATCATGGGCGCGGGGCGGGTGGTACGGACAGAACGCGGCCTGGAGATGGCTTTCCAAGCTCTCCCTCAGTTCATCTCGCTGGGTAAATAGACAACACATCAGGACATTCAGAGGTTGCTAGGCACTGGAAATTGGGCTGGGTGCTGTGTACGTGAAAGACCCCCCAACTGAACATCTGAGGTGGTCAATCCACCAACACCAAAATGTACATGATCTCCAGTCATCGACTGGGTTCTCATCTTACTGCATCACTGGGTAGCCTTTGACACAGCAGGTCCCTTCCGCCTTGAAATATGCTGTTGACTTGATTTCCAGAACCCCAGTGGGTGGGTTCTTCTCCTGCCTCTGCATCTCTGATCTCCAATGCTGGAGGACCCCAGGAATTGGCCCTTCTGCGATATTCTTTGCTCTAATTACAGTCAGAATCCAGGTGATGTCCTCTTGATTCTCAGCTTAAATTCCATCCATATACTGATGACCCTACACTTACGTCCCCAGCCTGGACTTCTGCCTTGAACTCCAGATTTGTACGGCCAGCTGCCCACTCGACACTGTCATTTAGTTTATCTAATACTGTTCAGACCTCACCATGTTTAAAATCCAAACCCTGATCTCCCTGCCCCACCAACCCCAACTGGGCTCCACCTACCACCTTATCCATTTTAGAAAGTGGTGGTTCCATGTTCAGCTCCTTAAGACAACACTTGAGACTTGGACTCTTCCCTTCCTCTTAGGCTACATCCAACCCATCACCAAATTCTGTCACTTCATCTTCGAGACACATATGCACACTGTGTAATCTGTCACCTCCTTCCTCATCACCTCCCCTGCTCCCGCCCTGCTGAAGAGGACATCTTTCGCCTGGAGAATTTCAATAGATTCCGAACTCGCCTCCCTGCTTTTACCTTTACTCTTCTGCAACCTATTGTTTATGTGGTGGTCTTCAGTCATTTTAAAACATAAGTCAGTTCATTTCACTCCTCAGCTCAACCCTCCAATGTCTCTGTCCTGCTCAGCAGACCTGCGTCTTCCTGCCCACACCTCCTTGCTCACATCACTCTCACTGGATCCGTCCTAACCACATGGTCGCTTCCTGAGCACACCGAATATTCTCCTGCCTCAGGACACTTGAACTTGCTATTCTCTGTATCCGGAATGCATTCCCCTCAGATATCTGTAAGGTCTGCTCCCTCAATCCTTCAGGCTTTGGCTCAAATATCAGAGAGGATGTCTCTACAACCCATATAAAAAGGCACCACGGAACTTTCACTTCCAACACTCATGGAGCCTCCTTGCCCTGCTCATTTGTGCTTCAACACCCTTATCTCCACATGCATGTTACATTTTATTGAGTTTATCACTGTCTCCCCCAACTGGAAATCTAAGCCCAGACAGAGACAAGACTTTGTATTTCTTCATTGCACTATCTACAGTGCCTAAAACTATGCCTGGCGCATACCGCTTGAATAAAGAATGCTGAATGACTGAATCTTTCCTTGTTCCTAAATGAAGTTACAGATTCTCATGGGCATATACAAAGGTGCTATAACACCGGTGTCTCAGAAGAAAATCTCTGAAAGCTGTCCTAACAACTTGTACTAACAAAAGTATTATCACTTAAAAAGATAATATGAGAGATGAGGAAAAACGTCATAAGAATGTACAGAGAAGAAGAAAAACAGTATACAAGGTTAAGATGAAAAGACACAGGATTTAGATGAAAAGGAGTACTGATCAGTAAAGATGTTGGATGAGAAAACTAAAACTGTGAGGTAAGAAATAAAGCTTGTACTAGAGGTAGGAACAAGCAGAATTAACAAGACAGAAATTGAAGCAGTAGTTTATTTATTAATTTATCCAGCTACTGCATACTGAGGGCTACTATATGTCAGAGAACAAGGCAACGGAAATTCCTGTGTGGTGCTAGTGGGAGTCTAAGTTAGTAGCATCTTTCTGGAAACCACTGTGGCAATATGCATCGTGACAGCCTTAAGATGCATAACCTCTGAGCCAATAATCTCATGTCTATGAAAATAATATAAAGAAATAGATATGATCACGGAGAGTCCATCACAGACTTTATACTAGAAATATATGCATACATATAGTATATATAACCATGTTATATATATCACAGGGAGCTCAGCTCGGTGCTCTGTGGTGACCTAGATGGGGGGGAGGGGGGAGGGAGGTCCAAGAGGGAGGGTATACAGGTATACATATAGCTGACTCACTTCATTGTACAGCGGAAACTAACACAACATTGTAAAGCAATTTTACTCCAATAAAAAATAAAAATAATGGGGAAAAAATAAAAGTAACTGTTATATCACTTTAAAGAGAATAAAATCTATTTGTTTAAAAAACGTGTTAAATATTAGAAACAACTGAGATGCACGCAGTAGAGGAACTATCAGGTAAGTATTAACAGCACCAAACAATGGAGCATTATGCAACCATTAATAAAAATATACAGAAATGGTTTTAAGAACATGGAAAAATTCACAAGCCAATGTTAACTAGGAACACAGGATAAATAACTGTGTATGGATTGAGTTTAAACACAGAGCTCTTGTCTTTGAAGTTTGGCGTTGAGAATTATATTCCTTACGCTTTAGGTACTTGATAAATTTTCATCAAAAAACACACATTACTCTAATAATCAGAAATAAAGAATACTAAACAAAAATAAAAACTGAAACTAAATTTTTTATGTTCTCCCACATTACAGCTTCTTATATATTTCTAACCTATCCCAGTACAGTTCTCATATCCTAGAATTAACCACTCCAGTTTCCTTATTATAAAGGATTCAAGCAAGCTTGTATTTTTGCTCAAAACATGCTAAAGTCTTGCGTTCTTGCACTCTCACTCCAGATTTCTAAAACATTATAGATATTTTTTTATCCTATAGATTTTCTAAACTTATCACTGAGGAAGTAAAAGAATATGTAAAGATTCTATGCAAATCATCCAACAATTCACCATTCACTTCACCTCTCACCATAAAAACGTATTGCATTCAAAAACAACTTTCCATCAAAAATAAAGTTTCTTGTTAAAATTTTTCAGGAAAAACGATATCACGATTGCAGTTATAGTTTCATAGGTATATACACATATCAAAACCTGTCACTGTACAGTTTAAATATGTGCATTTTATTGTATGTCAATTTATTCCTCAGTAAATATGCTAAATAAAACATAGTATCAAGAAAAGCCACACACCGAAACATAATTAAAAGGCTTGGAAGGTAGACAAACACAGGCACACACAGAAGAAAAAGAACCACTCTTTAAATGCATCAGCAAGTTTATTTACAAATGCAGTTGAACAGAAAGGCTCACTAGTTTCTGGAGAAAACTTCTGGCATACAAACCGTGATGATTTTCCATGAATGAAAAGAAGCAATTTCTACTGGGAATTGCTTAGTGACAATTCTGGTGAAGAAAATAGAGCTCCCCTCATCAAGCAAATAAAATGTCATATAAGCTAAAAAAAAATTTAATAATATTACGTAAATGAAAGGAAGGATACAGAAAGCAAATTTGGGGGTGGATTTTAGTGACATTTTCCGTATTGTTCTGCATTAATTTAGAATACATTATAATAAACAGAGCAAATGCAATTACATATTTATATTAACTATTTCAAATAATGTTTCCAAAACTTAAAAAAAAACAAACAATAAAATAACCCTCCTCAAAACACCATTAGAAAGTCAAACTAGATCATTATCAGCATCAAAAAAATATTTTGAAGTTCTTATTTTTCCCCTGTGCTTTTATAATGCTGAATTCAAAAAGGAAATACTGCACTTTTCCCCACACATAATTACCTTCTTATAAATAAACAACAAAAATACAGGTTCTACCAAGACTATAATGCTCTGATGTAATCTAAAGAGGCCAGAAAAAGTATTATTCTTTTTAAAAAAGAGAGCAAAAGGACATACAACGTATATTTATAGATCTATATCAGCAGCAACCACCTCTTCTTCTATCTGCAACAGTGCTTTCGTGTGGAGGCTTACATCACATGGCGGTTGGCCGTCCAGCTGATCAGGCAAGGAGAGAAGAAAGAAAAGTGCTTAGATTCAGAAACACTCGAATATCGCCACCTGGGATACATAGCAGGAATCGTTCAGAGAATGACCCCACGAGGTAGAAAGAGTTACCCTGTTACTCACTTAGGATAAAGCTGGGCAAATCACACCTCTGGGTTCTACAAGTCTTTCTTTGCAAAAAAATGGAGTAAAAATTAACTGCTGATATAGAAACAAGTTACACTCAACTCTCTATTATTTGTACTGGAGGAGAGAAAAGGCATGGGCAATTTTTCCATGATGATTCCAAAAATCAATTATATTTGGCTTTGGAATTTTGACTAAAGAGAGAAAAGCTCACACACATACACACACTCCCTCCCCATTCCATGCCCAGCCTTGACACTCTCCAACCTCAGTGCTGGCATCCAGGAAGGGTCTGGACCAACGGGGTGAGAAGGCTCAAAACACGGTGACAGATAAGAGAGAGTTGACTGGGCTGAAGCCATTTCCAAAGCACTCTTCACATAAAGGCCATATAAATACCTCAGAGCTCAAAAGCATATGGTTTGGCTGATACCACTTGTAACAAACACCCTTTCACAATAAGGAAGAAACACATGTTACCAGCATCAAGGCTCAAAATATAAAAAGGAGGAATGGTTGTCTTTATGTAGCTATAAACGATATGCAATCTACTTACGCTACCCTATGTTTATAACACACTTACAGGCAAAAACATGCTTCGACACAGAATAGCATGTGAAGTTTTCGAAAAACTCAATTTTTCCAAAAATGACACTGAAACACTATGTCATCAGAATTAATGCTTAAATTATTGTATAATTTGATAGCATATGATTATAGAGTAACAAAGCATACACTGACTATTCTTTATTACCTTTTTAAACCACAGTTTTTAAAGTTGGTCATACTCTAAATCACATAATCAGACCCCATTAGTAAATAATAGAAATCAGCTAAAATGATGAGAGTTTCTTAGCCAAGAAACTGATGAGAGTCTATACAGAAGATTCATTTTGACTGTTGGTCTTGGTTGGTTTTTATGCTTGAGTCACCAGAAGTTTCTCCAGACTCAGCAGACTGCACAGCACACCGTCCTGACTCCTGGCACGCATCCCTCTCTGGTTCTTTGGTCCTACACCCACCCTTGTGCGGCTGGAATCCTGAGCACTGACCCACTGACCCGCTCACCGGACCCTCTTTGAAGGGGATACTCTGAGGTTCCTGAAGTCTGGAGCTCTGGGGCAGGGAGCTTGAAGGGGAGCTGGTGGTAGGTTCAGGGAAAGGCATGGGAACCCGTGGTCTCCGTAAAAGACAAGAAATTTTCTCCCTGATTTGCTCTCTTACATTTGAGTCTGAGATAGCAGTCGTTGCAATACAGTTGGTTGTTTCGGATTCTGACTTCGGCTCCTGAGGAAGAGACTCCGAGGTCACGATCACAGGCCACACACTGGGAGACAAACAAAAAACAGCAAAAACAGGAAACGTCCACACTTAGCTCAAGAAAGCTTGGGGCACTCCCAGAAAAAAAAAAAAATTAAGCAAAATGCAGCTTCTAAGCTCTTAGATACATCTCAGCAAAGGAAAAAAAAAAAAAAAAAAGGCCCAAAGATAATTAGATGAAAAGGAAACCTGCCAGATGAGACATTAAAGAATTCATAAAGCCAATTTTAAGAGCCAAGATATCATTCTAAATATACCAAAAGAATAGAAATGATTCGTTGATCGGTTTAAAGAAATTGCATCTTCCTTTCTCCCAGCGGAATGGAGAGGATAAAGCACCACAGGAAGGAACGGGTGAAGGGCACCAAGACTGGGTGTCTGGCTCTCTGCCCTGGGGTGGGTCACCCCAGGCATTCCCCCAGCACCAATTCGGTGAGGTTCACTCATGGTGCTTTCCCTTCAAGGCTGGGTATTTTGGTTCCATGCGCTCAAACACTAATCATTTTGACTCATTCTGCTATGCCTAGGAACAACCCAAGCCAGAGATAGACAAGCTTAAACAAGCTGAGCTCTAAAGGACTCCAGGATCAACTACCGGAATTTCTCTCTCTGGCCCAACACAAGTTCAAGAATCAAACAGATGTGTCTCTAAAGACATGCTGCAAACTAAGGGAGTCACAGAGCCCTACTTCTCTCTTATGTGCAAGAGCCCCTTAGGTGCAAGCAGGCTGTGCAACGGTAAACATACGTTATTTTTCCTTTCATACTCTCCCTATTCAAAGCTAGGCTTTGGACACTGTTATAATTCATGTCCCCATGCTGTTAATAACCGTGGCAACATGTCAGAGAAAGCATTTACGCACTGTAAATTTTACTTAGAGAATCTTAGATTGGAAATAGGAAGTGCATAGTGCTTCCGGCTTTAAGTTTTGAAGCCAGGTTCAAGGTTTGAGAACCTAGTAGCAGTAGCAGGCCATTTGCGATTCAAAGTGCAGCACAGGCCGACAGAGGCAGCGCCTAGCTTGTTAGTGGCAGGTCCACACCCAGCGCTGCGAGAAGCCATGCTCTCTCCAAGCAAAGCAATGCGGGCCTGTAGGCTGTCTGGCTCAGTCTCACCTTAAAACAATGCAAATGATAACAAAGACCCAGGGACTCGATGATCATGGCGGCTCCTTTGCCCAGAATGTTATGACAATAGGAGCACACGCGCTTCCCACTGACCGACCTAGACGTAGAACGAGAATGGAAGGGTGGCTTTCATCCGAGTAGCTCAAAGCTCTTATCTAAAAATCACACTCTGGTATTAACGTGAATCATAGTTTACGAAACTCTTTATTTTATAAACCTGTGGCAGGAAAACTTTCACCAGTCAACCAAAGTATGCCTTGATTATACTGTACCTTGATGGATCTCCACAACGGCTCTGGAACCCTTGACACCTAGTCACATACATGAAGGATTTCCATGTAATCAGTCCATTCTGCACTTCGCGATGCGATCGCCCTCAGACCACATCTGTACTCGGCAACAGCCCCCCCTCCTCTAACGCAGCCGACATCATCTTGCCAGGTAAACCCTCCCAGGCACAGCTCTAATCACGTCTTCTGCTCATCGAACACCGAAAGAGCAGCCCCGCTTCGGAGAGGTGTTGCAAGTCTACTCAACCAACCGCCTCAACCTTATTTTCTCAACCTCTTTCCCATTCACCCGATATTCTAGGTAAACAGAAGTATCAGTGCTTTCCTGACTGTACCTCTGGTTTACAGGGCTGCCTCTGTGGAGAATGACATGAAAACTGCCTGACAGCTACCATTTAGATAGGTAAGGCAAGTTTCTACTTTGCTTTATTTACAAGGCTTATCTCTTCTCCCAGGCCGAAAGGTGAAGGCTACTTCTTATCTTTGCATCCCACTGGACTGGCACAGCACTTCAGTGACATTGGAAAGGGCACAGCTGTTGAGTGCCTCACGTTAGAGCACCACGTGCTCTAGATAGAGACCTTTTCAGGGCAGAGAAGTCCACAGCCCCGTCTCCTTTCTGCTTTCCGAGGGCAGGGTTCTCAGTAAGGAAACAGGTACTCTCTCCTCTGGCTTCTCCCCGACTCTGCAGTCCCTATCTTCCCTCCAAATTTACCAAAAATCCTCATCTCTTCTTCTCTTAATTTAAGCTCCCTGATACACATTTTATAAATCCTGGCACAAGCAACATTTTTAGCTAGATAAAAATATCTTCTCCGAATGAAATCCTTTAGCTGATAGCTTAAAAAAAAAATCCCAATATTAATCATTGTGTTTCTACTTTTCAGTACTTCAACAGTGATGAAAAGTAGCATAGGCCTGTAGCACTCCCTTCAGGTCTCAACAGAAACACTGCTGTATGTGGCTTTGTGAAGCATCAGTGATCTGTGGAGAAGCTACACAGATATAACACCCCAACACAGGCTGATAATCCGAGCTTTAACCCATACCAAAAGGCAAGTGTCAAGACCCACCATTATAACTCTCACACAGTTCCCGCAGCATATGACCTGCAGAATTCAGTTGATGCAGTCTGAGTAAGATGTTGGAAAACCAGATAAGAGACAAGCAATGGTCTTGGAAATCAAAAACCCAAAATGCCATATCTAACTTAAGGATTTTTAAAGCCAGCTTGTTCAAAGTTCCACAGACGATGGGTCTGGGTTATAATGCTTTCCTTTCATACTCAGTTCCTATAAAATGATTTTATATTACAGTCTCATCAAAACAGTCAAACATTTTATAATACTGCTTTTACTCATCAATTTGTCATGCATTCTTGAGCTACTGTATATTTTTATGATTCCACAGTGAGAACCGTTCAGGTCCGTCTGCATCTAAGACACTGACCACAGGCCCAAGCAAACGAGCCAGTGGCAGTGAAGTAAACATTTTAAAGGCCTCCAATGGCTTCACAAGACATCCATAAATGCCCTTGGGTTGGCATGGAAAGATAGCAAGGAACTGATTTGGGAAAGGAACACTGAATCTGACACACTCAAAAAGGCTTGTTTTTCTTTTTTCATTGGAAAGCTTGGACAAGATTTTGGGAAATTTTTAATGAAAAACTACCCCTTGAGATGAAGGGAAGAAGAGGGAAAACCCAAAGGGCCTCACCTGTTGCGTGGCTGGCAGCCGGGCTGCGGCACCGCAGGGGAATGGCTGCGCAGTATGGGGGACGGGGTGGTGGTCTTCCCGGAACCCGCTGAGGGAGGGGGTACGCCGGAGGAGGGGTTCCGCATGTAGGCACGGTTCGAAGTGGACAGCAGCTGAGGTGGGGGGCGACTGAAGTCTTGGACAGAGGAAGTGGCATAGACTCCTGAAGGCTGGTTGAGCCAAGGGGACTGTCGCCAAGAACTGGCTCTCGGGGAATCCAGGTTATCTAGAGATTCACCTCTGAAACACAGAAAGGGTTCATCCAAGTTATAGAACACATTCAACTAGAAATCCACTTAACACCATTACAGTCATTAAAATATCCATGTATTTTATAAGCAGGTATGAATCTAACAAGGCCAGTTACATATAAAATTACCTTTAACAGCTAAAGTTCCTTTGCATCAAAGGCATCAGGATGTTTCATATTCAATTAACCTTCATTTATTTTTTTTTAATTTTTTAAATTTTTATTGGAGTAGAGTTGCTTTACAATGTTGTGTTAGTTTCTACTGCAGAGCAAAGTGAATCAGCTATACGTATGCATATATCCCCTCTTTTTTGGATTTCCTTCCCATTTAGGTCACTACAGAGCAAGAGTTCCCTGTGCTATACAGTAGGTTCTCATTAGTTATCTATTTTATACACAGTATCAATTGTGTTTATAGGTCAATCTCAGTCTCCCAATTCATTCCACATCCCCTTCCCCTTTGGTATCCATACGTTTGTTCTCTATGTCTGTGTCTCTATTTCTGCTTTGTAAATAAGATCGTTATGTACTTGACATTAATTCTGACCTACAAAGATTGACTCCAAATTATGAGGGTTTTTTCCTACCTGGTCAATTTTGTTGTTATGACTTTTAAAACTTTCTCTCTTATCCCAAGTTTGAAATGTGTATTTTTTCAAATTATAAAAGTATTATATCATCATGATGAGAAAGACCCAAGCAATCCAGCAGGGTATATACACTTTTACTTACAATTTACCTGCCCTAATCCCCAGAGGTAACCACTGTTGACTGTGTATCCTTCTAGACTCTTTCCTCACACATGCAAGTATATATTTACATACATATACAAATTTACATATGTACGTATAACCACGTCTATATACATATGTAATGTGTTCATATGTTTAACATGCTTAAACAAATGGGATTATTCTACAACTCATATTCTTCATAACTTGCTTTATTGCATGTAATATACATTTTCTTAGAACTATCTTCATGTCAGTTCAGGTGATAGAAGGTACTTTGGTGGCCCCCAGTGGTTCATCTTCCTGGTATCCACATCCTTGTGTGGTCCCCTCCCACTGATTCTGGGCTTAGCCATGCGACATGTTGGTCAATGGGACATTAGCAGACATGAGACAAATGGAGGTTTGATAAGCACTTGCACATTAGGGCTTACACCTCTTGCAAGGTTTCCTCTTTAAATCCAGGTGCCAGGTTATGAGGCAACCCAAGCAGCTAGGTGGGGAGGCCTATTTGGAGAACAGCAGCTCCCAACCAATAGCTCCAGCTGAGCTCTCAGTGGAGTATCAGAGGTCAGCAAGTTATAGCCCACTGCCAGGATACGAAAAATGCATGAGCTAAGGGTATTTTATCTTTTCAAACAGTCATTTAAAAAAACAACAAAAAATACATGACACAGACTTGGGTGGCCTACCAAGCCTAAATTATTGACAATCTGGTCCTGCACGCAAAACAAATTGCCAACCGCAGCTCTAAATGACTACAGTTGCCAAGTGCCCCAACCAATACCATGCAAAGACCTGCCCAGCCAACGCTCAGAATTTTGAGAGTAGTGAATTGTTATTTTAACCCACTCACTGTTGAGGTGGTATATTATAGAGTGATGTCCCTTTCACTCTTTAATAGTTGTATAGTATTCTACTTACCAGGGTGCCACTATTTATTTAATGAGCACCAAGTACACTCTTATTTGTAGATATTCTGATTATTTCTCTTTTTTGCTACTGCCAATACTATCTTTGCATACTTATCCAAATATACCCAGAAGATAAAGTGCCGGAAACTCAAGTGCTCACGGGGTATACGCAAAAACTTCTGCTTAATAAACACTGAAAGAACTGCCCACCCAGTTGGGAACAAGAATTCCTGTTTCCTTATACAATTGTCAATACTAGATTTAGTCAATACTAGATTCAATCAATACTAGATTTAAGTTAATTTAATCAATACTAGATTTAATCAACCTTTTAACTCTACAAATCCCACGAGCGAGGCATACCACTGTTGTTTTAGGAGAAGTGTTGATCTGTCATATGCTTACTGACTTTGTTTCTTTTTCTATGAACTATCTGTTCGTATCACTTGTCTATGTTTCTATAAAGTTGTCAGGGTTTATTTACTGCTTTTCAAGCGTTACTTTTACATTGAGGTAATTTAGCCCTTGGTCTGTAATGTGTTGTCAGTAATTTTCCTCAGTTGCTCGGCTGTGGAAATACTAAATAGAAGTAGCTTCAGTATTCACTTACCCACGATACATCTGTTTAGTTCATCCTCTCATCTCCAATTAATTTATATCTCTGGATTTTCCTTTAAGTTACAAAAATTAGGCGTCCACACTTTGTGAAGAACACTACTTTCATGACTCCAGTCTAACCACTGCCTCATTATAAACAGAGGTTTAATTTTTTTTTGTTTTTTGGTTCAGCATCATCCACGGAAGCACTAAGAGCACATCAATTATTTAAGTGCCTGAATCACACATCAGAGCTCCACAGGCAGCCTGGCAACCTATTAGCCGTGTGGTTTTGTCCGAGTGCGTTGCTTGCTCTAGTCACAGCTTCTTCGTATGGAAAAGCAGAATTACTACCCCTGCCTCAAGATATTCTTTCCAGATTAAGTGAGATGATGTAGACAAAGCACCTGGCACGTGTCTGGCACTAATCAGTGCTCTGTGACAAGTGCCCAATGACATCTGCTCTCCTTCTCTTTCCCCCACTGAATCTTACATAAGAAAAGAAATGATGACATCTCTTCTGTCCAAAGCAGCCAGCACGTCTAGAAATTAAGTATCTGCACCTCAGTACAGAAGGAGAAATAATTCCGAAGATGTCTCTCACCTTCTCATAATCCCAGGCAGACAAATAGGCTCTTTATTGACACTGGAACTGCGCTGTCGGATCCAGCTGTTGTCATCATAAAGGGACGTTCTCTTCCTCATTTCTTGAAGGATCTGCTGTCTCTCCAACTCCGCTCCTGATGGGACTTGTTCCTTCTTGGAGCTTTTCTGCGATGAGCTACTGCTCCCAGTTCGGTCTAAATATCTATTGCTTCCTAAATTAAAAACATCAAAAGCTCTGGGATTAGCACATTAAAAAAAGGCATAGTGGATAAATCTCCAAATACAGTGGAGAAAAAAAAAACCAAAAAAGTGACATTGGGCACATATGCTCACATTTTCAATTCTCAATGAGACTGCTGCCTCAGAACATAAAGGAACAGTCTCCTGTCCCTAGAAATTCCAATTCCACACCCAGAGGCATACCAGAGGGCTGCCTAAAAAGGAGACAACCAGCCTTGATTTCAGCAGTATTACATTACAAACTGCTCATCTAGAAAGTTTCTCTTCCACTATTTCCTTCCTTCCTAAATTAAAATCAATCAAGCACCTGCTCACTGAATGCTTGCTGTGACAACTCTGCAAGGGAACAGGGCACTCTGTTCTTTCAAAAAAAGTACACTCCCCCCGCGGAGAGAGCGAAGACATAAATGCATGCATCTCCAGCTAACATGGCTCGAGTCTTCATGGTGTAGGTCACAGAATAAGTCATGACCAAATCATGGGAATGAGAGCATATTCAATGACCGAAATGGCTTTTGTGAAATAGCCAAGTAATCCAAATGATAAGCAAGGAATGTTATCAGACTTGTATCTCCTGTCAAGGAACTGACAGAACTATAATTTGGATGAATGACAATTAAGTCAGGTTTTATCCTGAAGGCGTTGTCCCCTTGGATTTGCTGATTAATTCCTGATATGGGTAAAACATCCCTAACTTTGATGTATCCTCCCCATCTCAATTTGGATTAGAAAATTTCATCTAAGGATTTGTTTTCTTTTGCTCTCCAGATTCACTGCTATTGTCTTTCTTTCAAAATTCATTCTGCCTTAGTTTATCTTCCAGTAAGCAATGAACAAGGCCACCAAAGGTTTCTTGTACACGCCTATGCTTACATTGGTGTATGCACACAGCTTATCAATTTGGTCAGATTTGGAATAAAATGTTTTCTATTTTAAAGATGCCTTACTGGCATAGCCAAGTTTTTCAATAAAATATTTAATAACGTCTACCGTGTGCTATACAAGAGCTTACAGTCAGTAACGGGGAGAAAACATACATAGAAAAGCAGCCAGATTAATAACACTAGTCACAAATATCAACAAAACTATTTCTGAGAGTCACACTTGTTATTACTAACAGGTCCCGTGTTTACGTTCAAGAGAGAATATGATCACTGCAGGTTAAAAATGTTTCATGGCAGATTCAAGTACTTAAACTTTAATTTTAATGGTGGCTTAGGGGCAAATTCAGGGGAGAAGAAACTGGAAATCCAAACAGGTGAGAGCAGAGGAACTAGATCAGAAAGCATCTGATAAGTTGGAAAATGAGAAAGTGAACAGTTTGGTTATAGTTAAGGGCCCCTGATGGGGAAAACAGCAAAATACGCTGGAAAGTTAAACTAGGACCAGACGATGGAAGGTCCTCTGTGTTAAGGGAAAAGGGGTGATTACAGAACCTATTAGAAACTGTAAATTCTACAAGCTTTAACCAGAGCTGCCATCAGACCATTGGGGCCTGTGGATGTTGTTTTGTTCACAGAGGGCTGTAAATTTTTTTTCATGGCTCACAGGCCCAGCCGCTCCGGGGCATGAACCCGTGTCCCCTGCATCGGCAGGTGGACTCTCAACGACTGCGCCACCAGGGAAGCCCCATTTTGAATTTTTTGAATCTTGTCATTTAAATGTCCAATTTCAGGTTTATATGCAATTTCGGGTTTATATACAATTTCCCTGGTACTCTGCAGAAAACTTTTCTGTCCCAATTCTTTGGAGGCAAGATGAAATTCACTATACAAAATCATATCAGCATCACTCTGCAAAATTTCCACAGATTTCCTTAGCTATTTATAATCATTTTAATCTTGCAGTACTCCCTCCATCATAAAATAAAGCCAAATTAAGCACAAGATAATTTCGTTCTTATACACAAATGGGAAGGGCTGCTAAAAATCTGTTGTATTTTAAATATGTAATCTTAATCAACCTGAAATACCCTGACCTTAAAAATACTGATCATAAGGTGTGATAGCATAACTAAGCAATTGCGCTGAAGAATTCTGGAAAAAATTCACATTTACCATTTTTGTTTGTGGGGTAATCATCCAGTTCAGTAGTGGATCTGGATTTATTCCTAAAACACAGAACAGATTACATGCATCTCATTAAAAACATCCTTTTCATATTTATGAAGTAAGAACCCCCGAAAGATTACTTTTTAAAGCAGATATTTATTTCCCATGTCCGTTGAGAGCCATATTTATTTTCATACCAAACTAGCAGAAAACAAGACATCTCTAAAGAGAAAAGAGCTTGATGCTAGGAACAGAAGCATGTGAAAATCCTCTCCAAGTTGACGTCAGTTAAAGCCTAGGATTTTCTGACCAGCTTGAATACTCTGACTCTCTTCTCTTCCAGACATCAATCTTGCCAGGCTGTACAAAGCATCTGTCATCAGATCACCTAACATCAGACTGTCAGCACTTCCTTCACGCTGCCCGAGGGTCAAGAAGTCATCTTTGGGGGCATTAGGGTCCTACTCTGAAACAGCAACTCACCAAATGTTATCCTAGCATTCCAAAGAGGTACTGGAGCACACGGGCATAGGCAACTTCTGAAAAGGCCTAAACCTTGGGTCCATATACCAATCCATGCTCATCTCTTTCTCACTCTCCTAGGCACAATAACTTCAAATACTAGTAATAATAATGAATAATAATATATTATATAATAATAATATACACTGTCATACATAGGTATATGCAGACGTTTATAATATATCAATACAACATATAATTATGTGTAACACACAATATATCACAACTGTTAGCAACATCCACGAACGGTTTCATTTGTATTAAGGTAGAAGAAAATATTTTTAATGCATGATGTCCAGCTACGCTCCTTAATGCCTCTAGGGCATGCTTTATCACAACTACCTACGAGCGTTTCATACTTTCCAGGATTCCTTAAGTTTCCTTTCCCTAAAATCTACTTGTTTTCTCAAGGTAATGAACCACATACATCAAGCTTATTTATATATATATAAATAAATCATAGCTTTAAAAAAAAGAGATACACATTTTAATGATCTAAAGTTACCCAGAAACATTCACTATAAATAAGGTTATCCATCACTAGAATTTTTTGTCTAGCTTAATGTCAGCCCATTAGTACCTTTATGTATGTTGTTTTTCTTTTCCCTATCTACTCTGAGCCCTGTTCAGTCATCCTGATTGCCTATAGAGATGAGTCCTTCCTTATTTCTAAGGTGAACTTCCTAAAGGAGAAATTTATCTGTGAAAACACAGATTAATGGTCATACACTGGATATATATATATAGACAGACTTTTCAGAAGTCCTTAGTGATTTCAAGAGTGCAAAGCATTTTTAAAATTCTTTTAAAATATTAAATTTAATGTTTTAGGAAATATATAACTTTTCAGGTATCTGAAATCCTATCTTCATTCCCTGAAACTGACTAGTAGTTCTAATCAAACTAAGAGGAAGGCTACAATTCTCATTTCAGATGTCCGCATGGAACTTTTGGTAAGCTTATGCCATTGCTTATAACTTTTTTAAAATAAAGCTTCAGGTAAATCGCAAAAATGAACACAAGTCTTATTCTGTGTCCATTACCCTTGCACTGTGGCTCCTCCCACAGAGAGAGGGTTTTTCTCCTCTTCGTGAACTTGCGCTGGCCTTGTGACTTTAGATAACAGAATGTGGCAGAAGCAACGGTGTACCAGGTCAGACCTTAGACTGCAAGGTGCCTCGCACGCTTTCTCTCTTTAATTCCCTCTCTTTTCTCTGTCCAGCCACCATGTACAGGAGACTGCACTGGCTTGCTGGATGTTGAAAGACACGTGGCTTAGTTGTTCTCACTGTCCCTGCTGACGGCCAGTCAACTCCCAAAAGCAGAATTGCTTAGTAAACTGGTGGTAGATGCACTAGGGACCCAGTCAATTAAAAGAACCACCAGTTGAGTTTAGTCTAAAATGCTGACCCACGAAATTGTAAGTCAAGTCACTAAGTTTAGGGGCAGTTGGTTACACGGCAAAAGCCAGTTGATACAAACATCAACCAGCAGGATATCTTTGTATCCCACAAAAGAGCAGGCGCTAAAGCAGTCCTACGAAACATCTAGGCAAGACCTCAAATATTCTTCTGAGGCCAATTACTCCAACCAAATTACAATTAAAGTTCTACACACCTGTCACTAGGAAGCAAACCTGAAGATTCTTCTTCTCTCTTTGGTATGTCATAGGAATCAACCGGCCTAAAAGATGGAAAAAGAGTTTATGCTCAAAGTATTAGACTTTAATGCCTGCCCAGAGTTTAAGAAATGGATATCAAAGTAATGTTATTCCAGCCTCTTTATGAGAATGGTCTCTGAGTTGAAAACTAAACATACAGAAGTATTTCAATCCATCCCTACAGAAAACAGACCTACTACCGCCAACAGACATTTGCAATTCATTCATTCCACAAACATACACTGAGTGCCTGCTATGTTCTGGTACTATTCCAGGGCTGGGCTACCGAAGCAAACAAAACAAACTTACTGGCCTCATAACACATTTTAGTGGGATGGGGCAGGTTAACAGACAAGCAAATAAATGCATAATGTAAAGCAGGCGAGTGCACACTAGAGAGAAAGGGTGGGGGGAAGAGACGTGTTTCTGATGAGGTATTCTGCAAAGTCTGAGAAGGTGACATTGGAGCAGAGACTTAAAGAAAATGAGTAAGCCACACAAACACGTGAGGGAAGTCTTCTCCAGGTACAGGGACTAGAAAATGCAAAAGTCCCGGGGCAGAGTCAGTTGGACATTTTCATGGAAGGAAAAGGAGGCCAGTGTGACTGTAAGCAACCAAGTGAGGGGAAGAGTGGTTGGAAGCCGGGTGGACAAGAAGGCCGAGATGCAATTCATTCAAGCCATCGGGGCCACGGCGAGGACTCTGGATGATGTTGTAACGTGACAGGGAGCCACATGGGAACTTTGAGGAGGGAAGTTAGGTGACAGGATCACTGACAGTGAAAAAGGTTCACCTCTGCTTGTGTGGCCCTGCGTGGAGGACGGATAGCAGGGAGCAGGGGGACCAGTTAGCTGTATCCATTCCCCACTTCAGAGGCACCCAAGTCAGATCAACCGGAAAAGCACACGCACCCTTCGGCCGTGGGGACAGACCTTCTGTACTGGTATATTTGGATAGAAGTTTCCCTCTCTCTCTCCGCCCGGCGCTTCTGCTCGTCTGCCTCTGCCTCTGCCTCTGCCTCTGCCTGGCGCTGCTTCTGCTCCTGGTCTTTCTCCTGCTGCTGCTGCTGCCTCGTTTCCTCCTCTGCCGGGGTTCCTTCGCTGTCAGGTGCCTTGGACTCTTCGCCCCGGGTGGCCACAGCAGGCTCCCGTGTGGTCAGAGAAATGCTGTTTGAGTTTAGGACCATTAGCTCCTAATGGGAGAAAAGAAACCCATCTGAATCCGTGCATTTCTGTACTATGCACAGATACGTCTATATTCAGTTTTAAATGATACTTATTGTAGTTGGCCCAGAATTCCACTTGAAATAACGTTAAAAGTTTTATCACTAACAAAAATCACACATGGGTGGTGGAGCTGTAACACAGAAGAGGAAGATGCACTTAGAGCCTAGCGATAGGATTATTTAGTGACACAGTAGAGAAGCTAGGAGAAAGGCTGAAACGTCACAGTGAAATTGACAAACCAGAGCCTGGTATGTTCAGAGAACTACACAGGTGAATGTGTGACAAAAGCCAGGTGAAACGGGGTAGCTTCCACTTTACAGCGAATTTCACCAACAAGGTAGAGAAGTTAGAAGAGGGCGTGGGCCAACACTACCTCATTCAAGTACTTGGAATTCTCTCTCTCAGCCTCCTGCTTAGCCCTCTGCCACTCTTCCCTTAGCTTCTCCTGTTCACGTTGATATTTTTCCTACAAGATGAGATGGCATATTAATTAGTTAATAGGTTAATGATGTTAATCTCTCATTTGCATTTTGCCAGTTCTACCCTCTACCTCCATCTTTAAAGACAGAGATATTGGTTTAACCAATCAGATTTGCACCCCTAAAGTAGATCATAGCTTATACTGAGCTAAAATGCAGACTTGGGAAACGGCAGACATTCAGAATTGAACCCATATCCACTCTTTACTGTGGCTGTAATTCATCGACGCCCCTAGCTAACTGGAAGGGGCACTGAATTACGGTGCAATGGACCAAGCACACAGTTTATGCAGGTGGAGGTCCTGACAAATCTCTACACCTCTCATGCATAAGAAAATCCATAAAACGATGGTGCCGCATACTCTAAAAATATACAAAGGGTCTAATGAATAATTTTAAAAGGAGGACTCTGGAAATTTTCAAAATGGAAAAGTATTTCATAAAAAATGTGCTACAGGGGCTTCCCTGGTGGCACAGTGGTTAAGAATACGCCTGCCAATGCAGGGGACACGGGTTCGAGCCCTGGTCCGGGAAGATCCCACATGCCACGGAGCGACTAAGCCCCTGCGCCACAACTACTGAGCCTGTGCTCTAGAGCCCGCAAGCCACAACTACTGAGCCCACATGCCACAACTACTGAAGCCCACGTGCCTAGAGCCCGTGCTCTGCAACAAGAGAAGCCACCGCAATGAGAAGCCCGCGCACTGCGACAAAGAAGTGGCCCCCGCTCGCCGCAACTAGAGAAAGCCCGCGCGCAGCAACGAAGACCCAACGCAGCCATAAATAAATAAATAAATTTATTTATTTTTAAAAAATGTGCTACATATCAAAAGACTTGTTAATTATGAGGTTATTGGCTTTTAATTTTTTTTAAGTTGCTTCTTAATGTAGGTTGACACTGAGCAGGAAGAGCTGTTAAAGCAAACTGTGTTCCTGCTGACCCACACTACCCTGCTTTACCTGCAGCAGGCGGTCCTGCTCTTTCTGCCACCTCTCCTGCCGCTTCCGCTCCCCTTCCTGATCCCACGTCCAGCGACTCGGGGCACTGATGGTCGGAACTGGAAGCTGCCGAGTTACAAGAGAAAAGGTGCAAAGCAGAGAAGAATATGTTACTTCATTAAGTCATCTACTGAAGTACTTTTTTTTTTTTTTTTTTTTTTGCGGTACGCGGGCCTCTCACTGTTGTGGCCTCTCCCACTGCGGAGCACAGGCTCCGGATGCGCAGGCTCAGCGGCCATGGCTCACGGGCCCAGCCGCTCCGTGGCATGTGGGACCTTCCCGGACCGGGGCACGAACCCGTGTCCCCTGCATCTGCAGGTGGACTCTCAACCACTGCGCCACCAGGGAAGCCCTACTGAAGTACTTTTGCATACATAAATTATTCATATCGCCCTTGGCCTACGCTGTACTAAAGGAGGGTGGGTTTTATATATCAAAATAGGTCTCTTACACAAATGAACTTATCTACGAAACAGAAACAGAGACTCACAAACATGGAGAACAGACTCGTGGTTGCCAAGGGGGAACAGGGCAAGGGGCAGGGGAGGGTTGTATTGGGAGTTTGGGATGAGCAGATGCAAACTATTTTATATAGAATGGATAAACAACAAGGTCCCATTGTATAGCACAGGGAACTACTGATATATCCAATATCCTGTTATAAACCATAATGGAAAAAATATGAAAAACTATATATATATATATATATATATATATATATATATATATATATAACTGAATCACTTTGTTGTACACCAGAAACTAACACAACATTGTAAATCAACTATACTTCAATTAAAAAAAAAATAGGTCTCTTTATCTTGGAAAGATACTCCTGGATAAACTCTCATGCAGCTTAAAATAACGGTAAGCGATGCTACTGTGTGCTAATTCAGTCCCACCCAGGCCTCCTTGTTTATTCCAAAACCAAATGAATACTACTTACATCAGGCACCACAGAATCAGAACTTCCTATATTACAGCACGTGGGCAAGGAAAGAAAAAGAAAACAATATAAATCTTCATTTCTATGAAATGATTCCTTTCAGAAAGTTGTATCACTAACTGTCTCTATGCCAATATACTGAGTGACATCAGTTTTTTCAAACAACAGTACATTTCTCTCTTTAGTTCCATCTGTTTGTTACTCATCTTCCAAATTCAAAGTCAGTAAAAAGAAGAGAAACAGTGGATGCCAAAGTTTCATCTTATCTCTAGGTGCTAGAGCTGAGGTACTGGTGTACTTATTTCTAAGGGTTCAGGGTTCTTTTATTAATAGAGTGGATAGTATTCTCATAACTTGGCCTAACAGAAGAAAAATTGAATTTCAAGTATTACAACATCTACCAAACCCAATTTTTTTACTTGCTGCTATTCAATTACATTGTGACAGGTGTAAGTCACATTTTTCAGGCCTTATTGCTAAGGAGCTACTTTTCTGAAATAAGCCACCAACGAACATATTCAAGAAACATTTCCCTTTCCACTCCTATTATTTGAAACACAAAATATTCAGACTTCATGTGTAACCCTATGGGGAGAACGCTATTCTTTTTATTCTTATGGGGCCTACATAATTGTGTGTGCCTGTATGTAGTACAATGATTATAAACATGTGAGCAAATTTAATAAAAAACACTACCATACTGTATTTTTAAATTTTCCTGAAACCTCAGCTGTCAAATAAATTATTCACTTACACAACCATATTTTTAAGAAAACTGCTTTGAGATTTAAGAAAATATTCTTCCCTAAAATAGTCTGTTGAAGAAAAGTGCGTGAAAATGGAGAAAGAAAAGGAATTGCTTTATTTTAGCCAATTTGAGCTAGGCGTATCACACAGTTTCAATTAAATTACCATAGAATAACAAGAGTTGAACAAAAATTATCAAAAACACAAAGGACACTGACACAAATGGACCCTTGTACATGCAGAGCTGGTAAGCTACTTCTATTTACGGTCAAAAAGAAATCTTAATTCACCAAAAAAGACTACGAATAGATTAACACAAAATACACAAATCCAGTAAGTACCATGTTATAAGGCAAGTTTGGAAATATTTTTGATAATCTTAAAAGTAAGAAATAATAACATTTTAGACACCAACAGCACACCCCCTACTGACTGTGCCATTGCATCTCAAATGTTGGATATTACTTTTAAGCTCTTGACTGCAAAGCACAGAGTTCAAACTGCATTCATGAGACAGAGCATTAGACAAACGTGAAAGGGGAGGAAATGCCACATGCACGGCACATTGTAACGCAGCACTGCCCGACTACACCAACAAAGAGAATCTCAAAATGTACTTGTTTACAGATGTGACCAAATTTACAGAGCGGTCCTATTAACACTCCAAAGCCATCATCCCAAGAGCAATCAACAACTCTGTTCTTTATTCAGAGCATTTTCCAAAACCCAAAATTTGACTCTAAAAGTTGGCCAATTGTATGTTGGTGTAATCTAATATTATGCAATTTGTAGGAAGCAGTAAGGCATAAATGAAATTCCTCATTTCTTACTGTCACCCAGTGGCAAGTAGTGTGTGTTTAAACAGCATCTCAATGTTTTTAATTAAAAAAAAACCAAAAACTTCAGAGGTATACAAAGGACACACAAAGACCCATTACCACAGAGGTAGACCCATGAACTGTAAGAAAAGCCTGATGACCCTAGGGAAAGAATGGAAATGGGTTATGTTGCTTGGTCATAATCATGGCCAAATAGAAGAGGCTCAGTGCCCAGCACCACAGACTATCAGGAAGATAGAAGACTATCAGTGGAGAGTGGGAACAATTCCATGAAAGTACATGAATTGTTAGCTTGGCAGTTTACCTTGTTCAAAAAATTGTGATCGCCTTTTTAAGTTTTTCAAAGAAATAGGTTCAGAGGCTGGTTGAAAAATACAAACACACAAAAAAAAACACATCAATACCATGTCATTCATTTTAATCTCTCACCACTGGAAAACTAAACGATACTTGATACATCTTTCCATTCTGTAGCAATATTATTTTTAAAATGATAAAACTGATTGCCATAGAAGATAGGGATTATTTCAATGCACAAAGACACACATAGGTTTAGTAGTCTATACTACATTCAAATTAGTAAAAGGAACTAATATTTTGATTAATAAATTTTAGCAGGTAGCATCACAGTTTCAAAGTAGCTGAAGTAACATCTTCCGTGCTAGATCACACCCCTTTAGGGAAGTGGAAATTAAAATGTTTTTGCTTAGGTTAATCAATTCAAAATCTTTTCTAGTACAGGAAGAATTGTTTGTAACTAAGGTTTTTCATAGTACTAGTAAGTAAAAAAGGAACTAAAAATAATGGGGAGGCGGACAAGAAAATAAATATCCAGAGAACAATTCTAAAAAAAACCCAAATGCTAAAATTAAAATATTCTTCTAACTAGACTATTTTGCCCTAGTTTCCAAGATCTTATAGCCCCTAACTTTACATAAAGCAAATAGAGTTCAATCAGATAAAAAAGAAAAAGAAAATATTCTGACTTCTACAGATCTGTCACAAGATTATGGCAAATGATTATTATACTTCAGTTTATTCATAAAATGTAAATGTAATTATTATTTGACACTAGTTGATATTGACTTATCTAAACAAAACCCTCAAATGACAGGGCCTGTGTATCGCCCCATAGTCACTAACAAGTGCTCCGCTGAGTCACAGACAGAACGGGACCCGCACATCTTAGATTAAAATATCATGAAGAAAAAAGCAGTCATGTTCACTTTTAAAAACTCCTTTGACAAAGAATGCAATATCAAACAGTTAAAATATAGTCACATAATTATCAGAAATTAAATACATAAATAATCAATAAAGGAAGGGAAATTTATAAATTTGGTTTGATTTTGACGTAAGGTATTATGAACTGACAAATGCAGATTCAAAACCACCAAACCACTGAGAAAACCCAGACCTGTGCCTGGCAGTCTAGTTTCATGCTAAGAGAAGCTTCATCTTCTTTAGGTTTCTTTTCCTGCCTATGTGGACCAGATCTTTCTTATTTATTTTGTGTACCTAAGCTATAGCACACAGCATGTGGTAGCTCAATTATTTGTAGATAGACAGCAGAAGGAAGGGAGTGATGACTCCATAATGCAAAATTTCCCTAGATGCTATGTCTGCTTTTTCATTACAGATGGGTACTTCTGCTAACAACTGTTACTGCCACTGGTATTTCCTTATTACTAGCTGCTTCCAGGCTTGTCCCTTTCACAACATAAAAAGGGAGAAAGGAAACCTCGCATTTACCTAAGATTCCCTTTGCCAGCACACCATAGCGAGAAGGCTGATGGCCTCGGGAAAACCAGTCTTTCTTATTTGGATTAGACACACAGGCACTCAAAGCTCCTGGACAGGCTGCCAAAGCTTTGTTTGCAGTTCCTGGACTATTCAACACTGGAACTGAATGCCCTTCCACCTGGCTGCAATTGGATCTATGTGCTAACCTCTGAGTTTCAACTTGCAGTAGATCAGTTTTGCTTTCACTCACAGATATTAATTTTTATAGTAGCAGAACTTGAGTGCAATGACTTCTCCTATATTATAAATGTAAGCTATAATGGTAATGTTTACCTTTTGATTCAAAAGTATTGCTTTCATCACGAATTCCATTAATTTCCTTTGATTCAGTGTTCTAGAAAGGATAAAAATGCCAGTTAACAACATTCTCTCCAATTGGACTTCAAGCTTAAATAATGCATTTCTCATTAGTGAAAATATCTTCTAAAGACATGAGTTTTTCACAGCATTAATATATTCTTTACAGCCTTTTACATATAATAGAAACATAATTTTTTCATTGTTCTTCAATATTTGTGGAAGAATTAATGACCAACTGTAAGCACGAATAGCTTTAAGTTCAATCAGTCATTAATTTTCCAAGAAACATGATGGGCCAAATAATCATTGGTCCATTCGGTTTATATTTATGAGTAAGCAACACAGTCATACAGGATTCTCTAACATTTAAACTTTTCTTATACAAGGTAGCAGGATCTCCTTATTACATGAAAGGGAGCATCTTGGGATAACAGCCATTATATCTAGGGAGTCAATATAAACACATTTATTTGCAAATTTAAATTTAACTATTACTTTGATAATTAGAAATTTTCTACATTATAATTATTTTAAATCAATTAATGTAACTGTGTATCTCTTAACCACATATGTAAGTCTACCCATCACATTCATCCACACAAGGACTGAAACTGCTTCATGAGGTTTTAAAACTGCACACAATTACTATATCTATTTTACCAGTAAAGACTAAGGAAAGCATAGAAAAGTTATAGTGTATAATTTTACATAATTAACTACTTCACATTCACAAAGATCTGAGAGAGGGGTATAATGATGAAGGATTGGTAAGAAACACCTGCAGGGACTTTCCTGGTGGTCCAGTGGTTAAGAATCCACCTTCTAGTGCAGGGGATGTGGGTTCGATCCCTGGTCAGGTTACTAAGATCCCACATGCCACGGGGCAACCGAGCCCGCCCATCACAACTACAGAACCCACGCGCTGCAACAAAGAGCCCACCCGCTGCAACTAAGACCTGACACAGCCATAAATAAATAAATAAATAATTAATTAATAAATAAATGTATGTTTAAAAAAAACCCTACAAAACATCACTATGGGATCTTTTGATTTTTTTCATTATACAACTATTACTCTAAATTTTTAATGAGTAGTGCCTTACGATTTTCAAAAATATATTTTATTCTCATTACTATAAATTACCTTATTCAATTATCTGTTTTTAAAACAGCATCAAAATTGTTCAAAGAAAGCAGATTCTTTCCCCCCACAATCACACTTCCTATAGTTGCTTTGCTCTACCCAAATACTCCCACTTCTCGAAATACTTACAGAATTCTGAAGGCTTTCTGAGAAATCAGCTGTTATTGATAGATTTGAAGATTTGTCTGAGCTGTAAATTCCAGAAGTTGCATCAATCCACTTTGTTTCAGGTGAACCTATAATTTTGGTAGCCATACTGGTGAGATTGAGGGTTTTATGCCGTGTAAATGGCAGGGAAGGCTGGTCTTTGCCCCAGTCTGATTGGCACACGAAGATCAAGAAATGAGTACACGTAAATGTTGAAGTTGAAAGAACAAAGTACTGAATGTACATATACAAAATACACACACAGAAGACAAACAAGTCAGATAGTGTGTGAAAGAAATGAAGAGTTTAGGCCTTTTACCAACAGATCACCTTCCAAAAACAGAGGGTTAGAGCATGTTAATAGTGAAAAGACTGGCAAATTTGCTGAATCTTTCTGTAAACCAGGACTGGGTATTATATTTTGATATCATAAGTTGGTAGGTCTGGGAAGGCTTAACGCCCTTCCCCATCTAACCTCAACAATTAAGCAACACAATAATGAAATGTACATCGAAAGTTCTTCGCGAATGAACAACTGGGATGTTGACCTACTGTGCTCTCTCTTATACCAGTTACAGTCATGATGCTGTAGAGGAGGTGAAACCATGGTGTAATTCTTAATATTCAACATCATCATATGACTTCCAAATGCAGATATAATTACAAGAGCCTTCAGCTGATATGTGCATTCAAAGCCAGTCCAGCATATAAGTCAGTCAATAAATAATGCAGAATTCAGTAAATTTGCTAGTGAAAAGCTTTCAGACAGAACATCCAAAGAAGCATCATTCAAGACTTGTCTCGACATAACCACAAAACATCTTTAAGCCAAAAAATAAAAAAGTGAAACGAAGAGAGAAGAAAATGTTATTGAAGCAAGCTGTTATAACCACGGGCCAAAGACCAGTTCCCAATTTAGAAAGCCAAACACGGTGGTATAACCAACTCACCAGACTTTCCATAGCGTCTGATATCCATTACTAGGTTTCCAGTTTCCTGAGCATTAGCCATGGTTTCCTCCCACTCTTTTGTGTCCTTATATGAAAACTTAGTGTTGTTGATAGCAATAATTTCATCATCTACCTGTAGCTGAGAAAATTCTGCTGGGCTACCTAAATAAAGCAAAATAAATTAAACTACCAATAAAAAATAAAAACATGTCCTACTAGTCACTGCTTATTTAAATTAAGAGAAAAAATGACTTCTTAATCTCACCTAATCACTTCTCATATTCTTTTCAGGTGCAGATGAGTCACAAAATTTCTTAAAGTTATCAAATATTTGAGTAGCTACATTACAAAGCAACCAAAGGCATTTTTTAATCCTATAGAATGTATCTTCCTTAACGTTTAAAGGGAAATGATAAACCCATCTGTTCAATAAAATTTCTTTATTAACCTCCTAGGAAGAAAATTTTAAATTATTTTTAAATTAAAAATGTGAAATATATATTCCGCTTTAGCTGAGCTTCCAAAGCCGGATGCACTCTAGAATGGAGAAAAAAACAGAGCCGCCTAAAATGGCTTAAAATTACTACTTACCATTATCTAATTAAAGCAGCCTTGAAATTTCAAAGAAATAACCAAAGTTCACATGCATTTTTATATAGCTAAAATATGTAAATGAGGAACTCCTCATAAATACAATAGCTTTCGTTTTAATTTTAGGTCTTGTAATATTTTGCTAAGAGTTTCTGGGCTTGATTTGGTGGAGGAGGGGCAGTGCTTTTGTAAAAGTCCCAAAGCATCCTCAGGAGTCCTTGGGCAATAGATACATTAGGGCGCTCCAAAAATACTGATTATATAGCACCTATGTATCCATCACAAACACAAATGATCAGGGAAAGTTCTTTCTGGATCTTCAATTTAGCATTGTTTGTTAGTATTTCCCAATATTAAGCCTAAAATTTTGATAATTGAAGTCTGTAACAGTCACAAAATTACGACTCTTCAAAACTAAAATTAACGAGGCAAGATCAAACAACATGTAATGTGTAACTCCAACTATCAGTCTCTGGGAAGAGGATGCGCCTCTTCACTTCACTGCTGCATTTTTCACATGTGCTTTCTCCTCCTCTATCAAATAAACTAATTTCTCTGGGGGCTTTTTGAACAGCACAGGACAACAAAGGAGAAGAAACTTCAGTAGAGCTCAATCTATGATTTACCTGGTTCGACTGATGCTACGAAGATCCTGGAAAAATCCCATTTTACTGTAAATCCAAAGTCAAGGCTGTTCCCAGGCGTCTGGTTTATGCTGATTCTCATATCACTGAACTGATCCTGAAAACAAACATGAAACGGTGGGATCAAGTGTCCCTGGCACCCACATGGAGGAAAGTCTATCCGTGAAAGAAGGGAGGCTGCACACAAGGTACACTTGAATTATTTCATGATAAACCGGAAGCTTCATTCTTTTCCCCTTGGGTTTGGTAAAACCTTCACTTACATAAATATCTCTGAGTTTATTATTTTGCTGCTAAAATCAGGGAAATCGTCATATCCATAGATATTTTTCTTCACGTGCATACTATAAATCAGTTGATTTATAATGATAAAGCTTAGGCTTTTGCCCACCATACAGTTGGGTCTAAGTTACAGACCATTTTTTATAACACAGGAATGAAGCTGAGTGACATGTGGGGTGTGTGTGTGTGTGTGTATACACACACACACACACACACACACACAATGGAATTCAGCCATGAGAAAAAGGACATCCTGCCATCTGTGACAATATGGATGAACCTTGAGCACATTATGCTAAGTGACGTAAGTCAGACAGTGGAAGACAAGCACGTATGATATCACTTATACGTGTAGTCTAAAAGCCAAACTCATAAAACAGGGCGTAAAGTGGTGGTTACCAGGGGATGGGGGTGAGGGGACAGGGCAGATGTTGTTTAAGGGTACAAACTTCCAGTGAATAGTAAATGAGCCCTAGAGATCTAATACACAGTACTGTGAGTATAAACAATATCTTATTATAATGAAATTTGCTAAGAGACTAGAACTTCCAACCTCTAAAAAGAAAGGATAATTATGTAATGTGAGAGATGTTAATTATCACTACAACAGCAGTCACATGACAATATATAAGTGTATCAAATTAACATGCTGTACCTTTAAAATTTACACATTATATCTCAAATACATTGCAATAAAATGGCATCTTTGAAAATGCAAAAAAAGATTTAAATCATTTATTTTTAAAATGTCACAATACTTAAACTACCTCCAACATTCAATATATTTAGCCAAATAATTTTGAGGGGTTCATAGACACAAAATTCAGCTACCAGAATCACTCCTCTAGGACTGGTACCACCCCCGAATGGGTATCTGAAAGTTTGGCAAGGCATTTTTGCTTGTCCTACTGCTGCATGAAGGTCGAGCGGTAAAGGCAGAGCTGCTACATTTGCTACAAAATGCAGAACTGGGTCATGCCTGAGGAACCACCAGTAAGATGCCAAGAGGGCCCCACTGAGACACCATGAGCTCCAGGCCACAACCCCCTTGAAATAACAACAGCCCGCAGGCCCCAGAACTTGGACAACAGGCAGACCTCTATTTTCATCTCCATCCCTACAGTCCACAGCCACAAATTCTGAGTTTCACGGACTTTCTTAGGCCATTTTCCAAAACAAATATTTTAAGTTTTACAGTATAGTACACTAGGTCTGTGAAAATTTTAATTAACTTCCATAATTTATATTTTTTGTTTCGGGTAAACAGCAGACATAAATTTTAGCATGTGTTTCCCAGACTAGTGTTTCCAGTTCTTTGATTCATAATTATCAAGAACTTAGACTTAACTGTTTAAAAAGAAAAATTCTTCCTAAAGCCACTTTATTTTCCAGAAAAAGGCCTACAACTCCTCTATTTTAATTTAGCAGTTAAATCCAGACCTAGGACCAACAGGGCAATTCATAAGTTTTTCTACCTTTAGAACAAGTTTGAAATCTAAGTGACTATATTCTAAGAAACACTGTGATATTATATAAGAATTAGAAGACAAGGAAGGCATTGACTAAAGGATCAAGAACTTACTGTATTATATGGATATGAGCAATAAGTGTTGTAACAATACACACTTACTCATTTGTTCAACGTGCATTTACTGTGCATCTATTCTGCATAAAACACTTGGGAAATAAAGATGAATTAGGCATGGTCCTTGCTCTCAAGAAACAATTACTGACTCTTCAAAGTGGGTATGGAATTTTTTAAGAAAAAAATTGTAGCTAATAATATAGAAGCGTTTTCATCAGACATCATGTAAAGCAGTTGAAATATGGGAACCCAGATGCAGATAGTGAGAAAAGAGTCATTAATGATCAGCCTGATGGATCCCAGTCCCCGGAGTATATCAAAACTCTGCTATGAATAGAAAAAATTACCGGTCGGTTCTACTCCTTAACCAAAACCACCACACACTTAAATTAGAGATGACTCAATGAAAATAAACAGTCATCTTCACCACTTTTACCCCACTCTACTCCCCCCACCAAATCCTGACCTAAAGCCAACTAGAGGGCAGAATCTATTGCTATATAAGGGCACAGAGACAAATGATGGGTTAGAAATTCCAAGACACTAATTGAGGTTTTTTTATCTTGAAGAATAAGAGACAGGATGGAGTTTTAATAAATAGTTCCAAACTACAATAAAGAATACTTTGTGGGAGAGAGCAAGTGAACATTACCCTTTTCCACCAAACATAGGATAAAAGAGAATGAGCTTAAGCTCTAGATGGCAAAGTGTCACAATTGTATTAGACCAGAAGAACTGTCCTCCAAAGGACTGCTCTTACCTTGGAGATAAATCTCTACTTGAACATAATAAAAAGGCAAATAACCACCTCTCTGAAAGAGTTAATAGAGGAGGTCAGCCTTACTGTGGCTACAGCCTGGCAGCCTGTTACGTGGGTCCTGGGAGTGCACACAGGCAAAGGAGAGAGAACCATGTGAGCACTTACAGGACTATTTCTGTCAATGGCCAGGTGGCCTCAGGCATGTCACTGAGTCTTCCAGAGAATTTTCTCTCACAATGACATTAATTTTAAAGCTTTCTGTTTTCAAAACCCTATCTTCCAATGCAGACCATCTCCCTCCCACACCACAGAAAGGATTAAAGTAGCTGGTGGCAGTTCAGGGAAAGGGCCCCAGAGGCCCCTCTTGCACGGCCTCCCCACCATGACAGTCTCTCTGGCATCTCTGTGGAATCCTGGGTTCTTGAATTAAATTATCCTTGAGACTTTTTGCAGGTGAATATATCTATAATTATAGTCAAGCATAAACTATTCAACAATGATTAGGATTTCTACTTCCTTATTTTTCTTTGCAAGATATATGCCATGTGAGTATTCTACAAAGGGTCCATGTTTCAGAAGATGACACTGTGGGAATTTCCTTTTGAACTGGATGGAACCAGGAATATAAATTATTGGGAGAAATCTAGATTCTTGATGACTGATAAATAACTATCCCAAGTGGTTACAGTTGCCTATTCTGGGAAAGATAAAATACAGTTACCAACATATCAGCATCTAAAATAAAAATAACTTCCCTCAATTTAGGTACAATTTAAACAGAAATATACACTTAAATCTGAGATTTTAAAATAATGACATGGTGATCTGGCATAGCAATGGTAAGATTTATTTTTATGAGATCTGATGAATTAAGATTCTCGTATCAACACAGATGGGAATCAATAAACAACAGGGTCAATCAGATGGCCATTCTCCTCAAACTTTTTCAATTAGATAAACATGTTCCCTTAAAGAAAGCCTACTTAAGTTGATAAAGCCAAATAACACTGAAAGTAGATTCAGGCTGTAAACTCACAAATAACAGAGGAAATATATAATCTTTGATTTTTGTGACACGGCTCTTTAGTTTCTTTTTTCAGGGTCTTAGTGGAACGAGAACATAGTGAGTAGCCCTCAACTCATGGTGCAGCTCTGGCACTGGAGCTACTCTCCTTCACCAAAGATGCGTCTATACCTACTTGTTTCCCCTCTCCATTATCCATTCCAAAGAAGCAGGTGGTGTTTCCAGCTCTACCACTTGAGTCAACCCATTCCCCAGCTTAGCTCTTACCTACCAAATCCATTTTCGGCCCTCATGCCATCAGGCACTACAAACTATTCTTGCTTATGGGAAACGGTCTTCCAAGTCACCCATTATTCCACTTTCTCCTGCCTTTTTCCTCTATCCCTCTCGCCACCTCTCAGCTTCATTAGTGTGTTCCTCTTTATTCTATTTTCTCTTTGTTGCTCTTCTTCACCCCTAGTCAGTCTCCCACCTTCCTGACCACATGTTTTCCTGAGTCAACCTCATGCATTGTCATCAACTACTATCTACGCCCAACATACTCAGAATTAAATTCATTATCTTCCTCCCCAAACCTGCTCTTCCACCTCTTGCTTTTCACATGTTGGTTAATCACATCACTGTCTAACCAGATACCCAAGCTAGAAACATCAGGTTCTTTCTGGGCCTCTTCTTCCTTCCTTCCCCTAAGTGCTCCCCACACAACCTCTACACAATGGTCTCCCAAGCACCACCACACACATGCACTTAATAAAGTGTCAGCAAGTCCACAAGCCATAAATCCATCTGGAACCATCCCATCCTTCCATTCTCCTTCAGGCTCTCATCTGAACTCAGGTCACGGTTTCCCCTCTAAATTGCTGTGGGTCACCTCCTAACTGGCTCTCTTGCCTCCAGCACTTCTTTCCCCCCATCTTGCTCACATCTGCCAGAACTTTAGTTATAGAAAATACCAATTATTATATCATACCCTGTTTTAAAATTGCTGGTAGCTCCTTATTGCCTGCTGGGTAGAGTTTGAAGTCTGCACCTCAGAATTAGATTCAGTTCGGGTAAGTTTTGGTAAATATCTACCTTTCCTCAAAATAATTTTAAGAATGATTTTCTCTTTATGAACCAGAAGATATTTCAGTCCATATTGGCTCTAAGATTCTAGAGACATGGCCAAGTTAAATTAAGTCAACATCTGGTGTTTTAAGGCAGTTCTCAAATTTAAGCATGTCACATTTCAAAAAAAAATTGGGGTCAGAGAAGTTGCAAATGTGGCCTAAGCATTTAACTAGCCTAGGGTGTGTTACATAACTTTCAACTCTCAAGTATTTCACTGGTGAAAGTGAGTATAATACCACCTACTTTGCTAGGTCATTGAGAGAATTAAATGAAACATTTTAAAAGGTGCCAAGCCACATGGTTGATGCCCAGTAATTATCTTCTTTTTCCCATGGAAACAGTGTTATACATGGTAATATATGCTGGTTAGGCAGTTTCCAGATCAACTAAAGAAAATCCTATTTAACTCTCACACATGTAGCTCTAAAGCTAACAGAACTCGGTCAGCATTCAATGTATAATTACAGATCCAGGCACCGTACTAACAGTGAGCACAACAGGCTTGCTTCCTACCCTTAGACAGGGTAGGGGTCTAGTGAAGGTGATAAGCAGGTAAAATGCACAGGAGGCAGATGTGATAAGGTAAACCCTGGGTACTCTTAAAAGAGGTACTCTCGTAGACTTGGGCATTAGGAAGTGTAAAAATCTTCCTTCCTTCCACATGTATCATCCTATTTCTGGGTTCTGATTTAAAAATCTGGGGCAAAGGTCCTGAAATGTGGATTTGGATGAGATTTGGGTGCAGAAGGCTTGGACAAGACAAAACAAAACAAAACCCTGTATGCGACACCAATTTGGGGGAAAAGCCACATCTGTGAGGCAGTTGGAGCGGGACGGAGGACTCTGGGAGTCCCACTGCCTCCCCTTGTTCGGGTGCCCCAAGAATTGCCCTGGCAGCCCAGTCTGGCAGGGGAGGCTGGAAAAGAAGCAGTACCATAAGAGAAGTCTGTGAGAAAAGGGAAGAGAGAGAAACAGAACTCCAGACTAGCAATGGAGGTGAGAAAGAAACTCCTGGGCAGATTTTAAATGAGGTCATTTAAGTTCTTCCCTCACTAAGTCTTTGCTTCTTTATGCCATGAACTCCCTTCTTACCACAATTCTGTGAGAGGCTCCTAGCCCATCTCTGCCCCCAGATTTCCCCTCCTTCAAATAATTCTATATAGCATCACAGTGCTCACATTCCTAAAACACTCCTTAATCTTAAAGAACCTATAAAGACCTAAATTACCTGCTGAATCAAGTTCATACTTCAGTCTAGTAATCAAGGCCTTGAATGTAATTCAAGTCAATAAATACTTAAGTGCCAACTACGGGTAAAGGCTATGGAGGGTATAAACAATGCCAGAGAAGGAGAAACGAACATATGGAAAAGGAAGCATTCAGTGAATGAAGCTTGCAAGGGTAGGAAGTTCAGTTCCAACAAGGGGGAGGCAATCTCTTGATCCATGAAGGAACCGAGCCTCCTGTGCTTTGAAGGAACAGGAGAACTTCAAAATACAGAGATGGGTGAAATGAACATTTTTAAATAGGGCAACAATAAGAATAAAAGTATACATGATGTGTTCATGAAAGTATAGGGTATGTTCCAGAAATATCAAGCAGACTCATGTGGCTAGATATCACCTACTTCCGCTCTCTTTCTCACAACACAGGGCAGTGGAGGCAATCTTGAGACAAACTAACTGAGTTCAAATCCTGACTCCACCACTCGCTATGCTGCATGGCCTTGGGCAAGTAACATGACCACTTCATGCCTCCATTTTCATGGCTACAAAACAGCAATAAGAGGGTCACTGTGAGGATTAAATAAAATAATGCCTTGCGAAGCCTGGTCAGCATAGCAGCTACTCAGTAAACATTAGCCGTTTGGGCACTACAAAGGGAGTTTGGGAACAGTCACGAGAGACCTCGGTGTTCCCCTGAGTGCTTTGAACTTCACTGATCAGACCACAGCATGCCACTGGGGGCTTTGAAGCAGAGAAATTACCCAGTCCAGCCCGGCATCATGCAAATTAATCTGGTGCCAGCCTTGTGTAGAATGCACAAAGACGTGACTATTTACTAAGTTTTTGCGTGGATGAGGGAAAGGGCTGGAATCAGGGTAGCGGAAGCAGGGATAGAAAAGGGTAACAACATCAAGGGAGATGCTGTAGGAAGAAATGAAAGGACACTGCCAGCACAAGTGTGAGTAAGGAAGAGGACCTGAAGAACACTCTTCTACAAAGCTACCAAGACGTCTACCTGAAACTAATATAATATTGTAAATCAAGTACGCTTCAATTGAAAGAGAAAGACATCGGGCTTCCCTGGTGGCGCAGTGGTTGAGAGTCCGCCTGCCGACGCAGGGGACATGGGTTCGTGACCCGGTCTGGGAGGATCCCACATGCCGTGGAGCGGCTGGGCCCGTGAGCCATGGCCGCTGAGCCTGCGCGTCCAGAGCCTGTGCTCCGCAACAGGAGAGGCCACAACAGTGAGAGGCCCGCGTACCAAAAAAAAAAAAAAAAAAAAAAGAGAAAGACATCTAGATGTTCAGCCAGACACCATTTTTTATTTTTCTGAACTCCCAGAACTAGGTAGTTCAGAGGAGTGTTGCATATGCCCTGGCCACACTGGTCCTAGGCTGTTCTGTGCATTCCCAGCCCTTTTCCCAAGTCAGTAAGCTCCTTCGCAGTGACAAGAGCAGGGTGATGCTACATAAGCTACTTTCCTCAGAGTGCAGAAGTGGACACACCAAGCATCTCAGGGATAGGCAAGTCACCATATGATATATACATTTGTTCAAGAATTCCAATTGCTCCACTTATTAAGTCAAGCCTAATTTTGCCCGGTAGCATTCCATTTCAAGTTGGGTGACTAAAGAGCATAAATCCACTAATGATAAAACCTGAAACCACGCCATGTTAACTCACATTCCTCTGAACTGCTCTAACCTGGAAGCCACACCCACACCCTCTTTTTCTTAATCCACTGATGCAGCTAGTCAACTGCCACCCTGAAGGAGCTACCACCACTGAGCACACAGGACAATAATCAGGCTGTTTCGTGGGATTTGCTATTTGAAAAGGCGAAGGCAAACAGGCAAGTCCATAAAACAAAAGACAGCTTGCTTCTCTCTTTATTATTCATCCACTGGTACCTTATGTTCCCCAAGTGTAACAGAGGCTACTGTCCTCATCCACTGAGACTTACGATGCTAATTACGTACTCCAAACTCTTTAAAAGTGAAGTTAAAAAAAAATAATTGACAACCAATGATTTTAGCAACCTGAAGAGACTGGCTTTAGGTATGTTTGTAAATATACATGGGAAAACTGAAAGAAATGTATCTAAATGCTACAGAATATCTCTAAATGACGGGATTACCAAGTCATTTTTATTATGTATGTTTTCCTGCATTTCCAAGTTTTCTCAAGCACAGAGTACTTTATAATCACAACGAAAAAGAGCTTACTTTAAACTTGTAAAGCTTTCCTGTACTAATAAAAACTAACAATACTAAAACATGCTGTATCATATTTTACACAAAGATATTTCATTAATATAACTTGGGCCAAGTTATATACTTGATGTTGTGCCTTGGGGAAAAAAATACACTTTAGTAAGGCATCAGAAAATGCTAGACTAAGCCACAGAACCATAAAAGCATCTCCGCACTAAGGGGTTCATACAACTATCAAATTGCTTATTGAAGGTTTTTCTCTAAAAGAGAAAAGTTTCTTTCTGTTCTCTAGACAAGCAACAACTCTTTAGCCTATGTGTAAAACATAACTAAAAGAACATTCATTACCTAATAATTCTCTTAAAGTCATCTGTGGGATTTTAAGTAGGAAAAACTACAAATGCCCCCAGTCCTTCTTCATCTGACGGTATATTTTATTTGGACTCCAAATGTTAAAGAACGCAATTGTCATACTGTAACTAAGCCTCAATATTCCCCTTAAAAGAAAAGGAGTGGTACAAAATTCTAGGCTTCCCAAAGTACAAATTAGTATTGAAAGTCACTAGGATTTTTCATATGGTAGAGAAAGAAGTTCCCCTCTCACGTGTACCAGTTTCTCCTTGTGGTCAGTTCACTTCCCTGAGAAGGGGTTTTTATTACCCATTTTCTATTAGACCTGCATCTAAAACCTCCTGAGTGACTCCTGCACCCAAACCCGGACTACTGAGTGCTAACGGTGCAAGGCAACAGCTGCTGAAATGGGGAGTAGAGAGCAAAGCCAGCCAACTCCAGGGAGACTGGTCCAAAAAGTCTCCATACACCCATATCACAAGGGTCATCTGGATCCATCAACTCAGAGTTGGAAGAGATCTACTTCCGCCAAGATCTGTTACAAATAAAATGCAATGTCATTTTCTACATTATCAGCCCAGACTGTAGTGCCTAGAGGTTAGAAACGTGGTTTCCTGGTTTAATTACTTATGTTTCTGGGCAGAAGGTGATTTAAAAGCCTTCCCAAACTCACCTGTGATCTTGAGACCTCTGTCTGTGGTGAGCTTTTCCCTTCTCCAAGCTCAGGCGTTAAATCAGGGCTAGATGTTGAAGATAACGTGTCTTTCGAAGTGGCAGCCTGGCCCTGGGAAGGAGATGAGAAGGTGGGTGTAGGAGAGAGCAGCCTCATCACACTTTCTCTGGGTGCTGCTGCCTCTCTTTCGCTGGATGACCTGGACGCAAACTGGCTCGTGTCAGGTCTTTGCACAGAGATGCTGACCGAACTGCTTTGGGTTCTCTTAATGCCTTCTACGTCTCCATTATACTTCCAAGAATCATCCATCTAAATAGGAAACATCATTTTAAACTTCGTGTTCTGTTAGATTTCTATTTAAAAAGCATATACATTAAATTAATACTTCAAAGTAATGAAAGTAAATTACCTCCCTCAGTAAAGTAACTACTACTAAAAGCTTGGAGCATGTTCTTTCACACTAACAGATCCGTACATATGAAGTGGTAGGAGTAGTTATTTTTTACAAAAGTGTTTATTTTACAAACAGACCTCTGAAACTTGCTTTGACCATCTACATCACTCCAGGTCAATAAACAGAAATCTAAACTAGATCAATTGAATACTTCACACTATGGATCTCTACAATTTATTCATTTGATATGCATTCAATGTCATTTAAAGTGTACCAAAAATATTGCACATCTCTTTATAACCAGAATATTTTTATAGCACAGATTCCCAAAAGTAGACTTGCTGGACGAAAGAATATTTTATGTATGTAGTATAAAATATAATTTATATATATATATATATATATATATATCTTTAAAAATTGTAGCAATGCACTCCCAAAGTAATATATAAGAATGTCTCTGTCCCTGCATCCTTGCCAACACTAGACGTTTTGAATGTTTTAAATCTTTGTCAATCTCATGGGTGAAAAGTTGTACACTTCATTCTTGCTCTAATGAGACTGAACATGCTTCTATGTACTTTATGTTACCAACCATTTAAATTCCCTCTCCCTTGAACTATTCATTTCTATATTCACTTTTCTACTGTTTATCTTTCCTTATCAATTTGCATTTTAAATCTTAGGGATAGTAAACCTATATATAAAATACATTTTACTAATATTTTTCTGAGCCTATATAAATTGTCTTTTGGACTACATTAACGGTGTCTACCATATAAATTTAATTTTTATGTTGTCAAATACGCCTGTATTTACTTAATATAATGGTCAGCGGTTTTTCTGGCTAGTTTAGGCAGGCTTCCCTCACCTTGAATTTTTTTAATCAAATGTTTTCCATTTTCGAATTTTAGGATTCCTCATTGGCAGAGGTAAAAGGAATTTGAACACCAATGTGCTCAAGACTGTATTGCTTCCTTTTAAATAATTCAAAATAATACATTCACTTTCAGCCCTGCTTCATTCTCAGGGCAAATGAGTCTATATCCTTTAAAACCCCAATAAAAATATGTATTTTTTGAACCATGAGACACATTTTAATAACTATAATCAAATATATCAAGTTCTAATGAAGTGGGAAATCAGGAAAAACAGAACTTTGTGCATAATCACCTGAAAATATTTAGGTTAAACCACATGAAATTGCTGTTTTGTAGGTCAAAAAGAACTGACTATTGGCAACTTCATACAGTGCAACCTAATACTTTACAAAAGATATATTTGAGAAAATATGACACTAAAAAATAAATGCTCTGCCTTAGAATGTAGATTACTTATTTTTTAAAATGTATCAGCTCGACTTTCACTGAATTTAAAGTTTAATCAGTTCTGCATCGTTGCTATATTTTAAGCATTAAATGTCGATTGAATCTAAATTGGTAAAAATACAATTGCTTTATATACAAGTTATATACATTTTACCCATCAAGTATCTGTAACTCAAACCTCTGCACAAGTTCACCGGTATTTTGCGCTGGCGAACAGACTAAGTGAAGTAGAAACACGTTTACCGTGTAGGATCTCGGGAGTGATGAGATTCCCCGTGACTGAGATCCAAAAGGTCTCGGTGTGACCACAGACGTTAACCTGGCCGCATCAGTTTTCTGGTAACTTCTAGGGAGAGTAGCTGAAACTCGAGTGGACTCCATTTGTCGTGAATGCTGAGAAGACAAAGAGGCTGGGCGTTGTTCTTCCACGGGGCTTTTCGAAGGAAGCTGAATTTCAGCTGTGATAGTAGCCTCCCTTTTTGCAAAAGCTGTAGAATCTTGCTTAGGAATTTCCGTCGGATAAGTGGTTCCCTTCTCTTCTACTCTCTCACTCTGGGAACTTACTTCTGACATAGTCAGCATAGGGGGAAGTTTTTCTTCACTCACTCCATCATCAGAAGAATACAGTTTCCTCCTCGATGTCACTGTAGACATATGATTTGGGGATTCCCTTAGCAGAAAGAAACGCCAAAACCACAAAGTTAGGCACTTGACACACAGAGGTGGAGAGACAGATGTTATTTTGGTCATTAACATAAAAAAATGGGTGGGAACAAAAAGACTACTGACTTCATATCATAACACAATATTAAGAGAATGTGGGAATAAATACACGCAAATTTTTTAATGTCACACTAAGAAAGATTAAGAGCTTGACTTTTTTTTCTTAAAGAGGTTAAAAAAAAGTCCCTGAAGTATATGCAATTGTAAAGAAACTTTAATAAGAAAACTTTAATAAGGAATTATTCAAAATTTCATCCACAAGTGTATAACGCTTCCAAAATTAACACACTATAACGATAACTAATTGACGACCAATTTGAACCCGCCAAAGATGTGGATTTCTTAACAGGGTTGAGAGTTTTCTTGTACACAATTTATAATAGCTTCGTAAAAACAGAAGACCACAAAAGACTCAGACTTTCATTAAGATCAAGTTAGTCTATAATTTCACACAGCTTGATAGAATTTCCATAGAAAATTATTGCAGATTAAAAGTCACCATTCCTGTCTATAGAGAGGCTGATGAAACAGTCTCACGGCTACCATTTAGTAAGGAGTACCTCTCAAGCCAACTGCATTGCGTTTAAGTGAATGAAACTGTGTTTACCACTGGCTTCTAGGGGACAAAGGAGCTTTGCTTAATTTCACCTGACAGCACGTTTCCTTTTTGACATTATCCTTAAAGACTATTTGCCTTCTCCCTGACCTGTAAATATCTCAAGGTTTCACATAGTAACTGCTCCACAGGCAAGTATAAATTGGACCTTTATCCTGTTATGTTGCAATGAAAAAAAATAAACCCTCACACTGATGTTTATATAGTCTTCCTTTAAAAATACAATTTTAATTGCACCACGAAGACATGAAAAAGAACTTTGCTATACTTTTACACAATTTAGTTAAGAGTAAGGGCTGGTTTTATCCGACCATTCCATTCCTAAATTTACTTTAAAAGGAGAAAAAGTTGTTTATTTTCTGCATATATAGCCAATCCTGCATGTGAATATACAATGTAAAATGAAGAAATTACATACACCACCCTTAAGTACTCATTTCTTTCATTAATCCAAGTCACTACTTATTACAGCAATACTCTGCTTTTTCACTGCAGAGCAAAATGCTCGAAGGTTATGCACATTTAATGACAGTTTAATATTGGTGCACATGTACATCCCACTACACTTACACAAAATATCTATTTCTAACACTGGTATCCCCAACCCTGAGATGCATTCAGTCTCATTACCTGTCCTGCAGCATTTCGTTAAATGTCTTAGATCTTCTCTCAGGCTTCTCAAGCGACTGCTTCTCAATCTCTTCCCTCTCTTCTTTTTTCTTCTGCAAATCTGAAGTGTAGCTTTTCCGACGATCTTTCCATTTTGCAAGGTCCTGACAGAAGAAAATCACATCAGCACAGGCACACCTGAATTTCTACACACCCTCTCCAGCAGTGAGAGCGCGCCAGAGGATCCCATTACATCGCTGAAACTATTCACTACAACTTTGATGCCAAGGTGCCCTAATTTTGCTTTTTATAGCCAGCGTTTCTGTACCAAGCCTTTTATCTCATGTATCTGTCTAAAAGCCCTGACCTAATAAGATAGGCCCCATTTTTGTTTTCCCAGGTAGCCTGCCTCACTTGCCCATTTCACAAAGAATGCTAAATGCTTGTAATTAGATGCCAGGTCAGAGAAGATCAGGAACTGTTTCAAATTCATTTCCATCTCACTCCAATAATCTGGCTCTTACACAAAATGACATGTTTCACTAGTCAGACTGGAAGAGAAACGTGATTGTAAAATGGCTAAACGTAGAAACATACATTTAACAAATACTGAGTTCAATCCCTACTTTGAGACAAGGGGGCCACAAACACAGATGAATAAGGTGCACTTCCCCTCAAGGAACTCTCAGTCTAGAGGGAAAGACAGACAGGTAAATAAAGTTCAACAATGAGTGTGATAGGATTGTGTGAGAGAGCAGGGATCCAAAGAAGAAAGTGATCAATTCTATCCCAGGCAGGGGAAGGCAGAGTTTGGAAAGGCTTTAATGGGGAAGCCAGCCTCAAGTATGTGATTTCAAAGCGGGTCAACTCCCCATAAAGACAGGGCAGTAAGGAGGATTACACGGGAACAAGTGGACATCTGCTTTCCATACATCCAGGAACCTAAGTCTCACCTAGCTGGGTGACCACAGGACAATCAACCTAATTCTCCTTTAAAATTAGTCCTAGCAGCCTAAGCCGGTTCTGACAGCCAGGGGTTAAGACAGTTTGGATGGTACCAACTTTTCTATGTCATCAAAACAGAGAAATTCCATGCTAAGAACTCCTAGTGGCACTGCAGCCCCAACAGAAGCTCATGTAAGCTTCTCAAACTGAGAGGAACCTCATCCCCAGGGCACATAAAGCAGGTGTGGTTTATACCCTTTGGGAGCAGACAGGGCCATTCCTGCTTCAAAAAACAGCCTGAAATCCATATGAACTATTTTCAGAAAGAACAAAAGCAGTGCACATAAGTCCTACAAGGTAACCAGCATGAATTTTCGTCTGACTTAACCTAAGGGATAAACCCTCCATACCTCTCATTTTCAGCCTCAGTCATCATGCATTTTGGCAAACTGACACTGAATTTCTGTTTCTTGACAATTAAAATGCGTTCCCAAATAAAAGAGGAACTGGAATTTAGAAACGTGGCCAAGGCAGAGGTTTCATCTGTATTATGTAATATTTAACTCCTTGGAAAATTAAGATTTACTATCTCTAGCCCTTTTGTTTATGCTACCACTCAACCCTCTTACCAAAAGGTTGTCCTCAGACTTCTTTGGGTCTGCTCTGTGTAGTTTATCTATCGTATTTCTTTACACTCCTTTGGTGTAAAACAATTAACGCTTTTTAAAAGGGTAGAGTTCCCTTCTGCCGGGGACAAAACTAAAGGTTAAATCTTTATCCAAATAGACACCTGGATATATGTCAGCGCTGTAAAAACACCTAATTTTGATTCACATTACATAACTGCTTTTTCAACCAAAATATTACTGAGTTATAATTCGTATTTTTCCCCAAACCTCCTCTATTAACTCTAAGAACGCTTTCCTCTCTCTCTGCTAATACCCAGTCTCTGGGCTGGACCCTCTGCTCCCCTGTTCTCCCTAAACCTTGAGCAAAGTGTTTCCTTTCATGAGCATCGGTAACAGTCATACGCCAAGTTCAACCACCAAAGCAAGTAAACAAGTTACCTATACTGCACGGAAGCAGCTTCTCATTTTTGAGAACTCACAGAAAATATTAGAAGACAAACAGCTTCCGTTTTACACAATGGCCTTTAAGATATGTAGCAGTAATAGACCAAAATGGTTAAAACATCACATTTTCTACAGAACTGAAATCTGGAATAGCAAGGAAAATCGTCCCTTGAGTATACTGACTCTCTTTTTAAAGAAGGAAGAGTCAAACAAATACATCCTCCCTGCCTCCCCATCTCCCAATAAAAATAATACTCACATCCTGCCATTTCTGATCTTGTTCTTTTAACTGTGACTTTATTTTCTGCATCTCCTCGTAACGCAGCTGACGCAAGTTCTGAGCATCCTCTGCGCTGACATCACTCATGGACTTGCTCCTACGACAAAAATACCCATGGTAACCAAGGTTCATGTGACCGGATTTAAGGTAAAACTGGAAGGTTGGGCTTATATTTGGAAATTCCATCTAAAATTCTGCAGTACTACCTAGATGCTTTCGTGATAATATCACAGAAATAGCACTACAGAGATAAATGGTGTTTTTCCAAAACGCAGAAACAAGAGCCTAGCACTCAAGTCAAGCGTGAATTCTTTCACAAAATGGCTAAATGAACCCTGAACAAGTCTGAAAAAATAATCCAATGTTCATATTTAGGTAGTCGATGCAGAAAAAGATTACTTTAGGAAAAAAATAATTATTAGTCCCTAGAATCACCTGTCTTTATTTTTCTATCTCCCCCAGAGATAATCTTTTAAGGTTTGGCTGCCTTTTCTGAGCACTTATTAAATAATTTAACGATTACCTGATATTTTCTCCTCAAGTTCAATACCAGGAATAAATGTGCCACTGCTTCTCAAAGATTCTATAACATCCGCCCCACTACTGCACTGGGCTTGGTCTCAAAGACCACAGGTGGTTTCCAATAGCCAGTTACAATATAACCTCTATTATAATCCTCTTTTTTGTTAAGGCAGCTTTCGTTTTGTCCATGTGTGACCCCTGCCGTGAGGATGTACTGCGGGTTAGGTGTCAAAGAGTTCAAGCTAGGGTAGTTTGAGGACAGTGGGGTGCCGCCCATGAGGCACGTGTTCTGTACACGCACACAGAAGGGTATGGTGAGCTACACCAGAGAAGGGAGACTGAGGGAGGCCTCCAGGAAAGAGAGGTGTCAGATCTGAATACTGAGTAGCAGCTAGGAGGAACGAGAGAGACACAGAGCTTTCAAACGTGGGGTGCCCAAAATGTTCTTTCCTACCAATCTTTCTAAATTTTTATTTCACTGTAACTGACTCCACTTTTAGTTATTTAAGTAACTCTCCCTCTCTTTCTTGAGCCCCTAAGTTTGCCTTCCCCAAGACTTTGCCATCACCACATTTTTTTAATAACATGCTTGCCCTTAGCCAGCTCAGGAATTCAATTACATTCTCTACGTAAATGACTCCCCCAAATCCACGGCCTAGGCCCTGTCTGAGTCAATTCCAATTGCTTGTTAAATAAACGTCTCTGCATGGCCACCGTAAAAGGATCAATGGAAATAACACCTAGAAAGGGTTTTGTAAATGGTAACTTACTAACACATGATTATTGTTGATGTAGCCAAACTCAATTTTGTCTCCAAACCTGCTTTTCCTCTTATCAGTGATGCTACCTGCCCCCAATTACCCACATTTGAAACCGAAGAACCATTTTTCACCTTTCTCTCTCCCTTCTCCCTAGTTATCAAGTCCTCTTATTCAGTGTCTTTTTCTTTCCATTTCTATTGCCAACACCCTAGATCAGAGCACAGTCAACTCTTACCTAGACTTTTTTAAAAGCTTCTTAAATTATCACCCAGGCTCCAAATCCAGTAAAGGTCTCTCCTGAACTCTTCCCTCCAACTTAGAAACCCTTCACCAGTATATATGCCTTTTTAAATGCCACTCATTCCTCAGGATCCCTGCAAGACTATAGTCTGGTTGGGTGCATGCAACTTCCTGTTCATTCTCTGCTTAGAAGTCTCATGGGCAACTCAAACTTAATTTGACAGACCAAAAACACGGTCCCACATCTTCCTCATCTCAACAAAAGCCAACTCCATCCTTTCATATTATGGGCCAAAGATCTTTTTTTGTTTGTTTGTTTTTGTTTTTTTTGCGGTATGCGGGCCTCTCACCGCTGCGGCCTCTCCCGTTGCGGAGCACAGGCTCCGGACGCACAGGCTCAGCGGCCATGGCTCACGGGCCCAGCCGCTCCGCGGCATGTGGGATCTTCCCGGACCGGGGCACGCACCCGTGTCCCCTGCATCGGCAGGCGGACTCTCAACCACTGCGCCACCAGGGAAGCCCTGGGCCAAAGATCTTGAAGTCATGCCAGAGTCCTCATTCCCGTATACATAACTGATCCCATCAGGAAATCCTGTCCCTCTACCTTCTAAATATATCTAGGGGCAACCACCTCTCACCACCTCCACCACTGCCATCCTGATCCAGGCCCTCCTATCTCCTGCCCGGATTATTACAATAATCAGTCTCCCTGCTTCCACCACTTTCTGCACAACAGCGTATTCTCAACATAGCAGCCAGAAGGACCTTTTTGAAACTGCACTCAGGTCGTGACAGGACTCCACTCAGCACCCACCAGTTTCTTCCCATCTCACCTGAGTTAAAAGCAGGTTCTTCCAAGACCTTCAATGTCTGACACTACCTGGCCCCTTGCCTACCTCTCTGCTCTTGTCCCCACTGAGCTCCCCTTCACACACTCTGTTCCAGCCAACTGGCTTCCCTGCTCAGGCCCAACCTCTTCCCTCCCTGCTCTTAATCTGCCTGGAATGCTCTTCAACCGAATATGCAAATGGTTTATCTCTCACTTCCCGTCAGCTGCTTAAATGTTACCTCGGGGGTTTCCTCCCCTGACCACCCTACAAGACGAGCTAATGCCCCTCTCCCCTGACTCACATTATCCCTCATTTTCTCCATAGCATTTATCACCATCTGAATTGTATGGTTATTTACACATCACCTGCCTCGCCCTGTAAGATTATAAAGCAGGAATTTTGTCTGACTTGTTTGCTGCTGTATCACCAGCGCCTAAAAGAGTGCCCAGCCCCTGGTAGGTGCTCGTAAATGTCCTAATGACCTAGATAATCTTCTCCCACTTTGATAAAGTCTTCCTGCAAAAAGCGATGCTTTAGTTATACCATTCTTGTGGCACTTAACACTCAGCATTATGTCATATGTAGTGTGCAAGCATGCATGCATGTTTAGCTTTCCTCCCTCACAAGTTCACATGCTGCCTGGAAGGAAAACACATTAACAGGGCATGCAGGACACACTCATTTAACATCTGTGGTAAGAATGAGGTATGACTTAGCATATTTAATCATGCAAAATAAACTAGCTATGAAATGTTTCTAATTTTGTAAGAAATTGTGGCTCCTCCCCAAAGTTTTATACAGAAAGCTTTATAGGATTTATTCAAGAATATTAAGGAATTACATATATGAGTACATATATGAAATTATATATTGAGCTGTTAACATCATATATAATTAACTAGGTATGACTATATAAAAATCGTCACATGATTTGAGAATATAAACTCACTTAAGTCATAACTGCAAAGAATAAGGCTATATGAACTAATACAATAACAGACTCACTAAAAAGAAAATTTTTTCAGGACGAAGGTATGAGGGGAATGTGGATGCCCAACACATGAGGTTACATAAATTCCAGAACAAAATTGGAAATGTAAATATTTTAAGTAATCTTTTGGCGGGAGGAAGGCTGGACAGTCTCAACTGGCCCAGACCCTTTCAGCCCTCACCCTCCTGCACTATGAAACCTTAACATATGTCTTTTCAGAAAACATGGTATCACCATGGGCAAAGGCTGCATCACCCTCCGGGGAGCCCGAAGCACAGAGCCCGGCACACAGGAGGTCCCCCCAATATGAACAAAGTAAGCCAAACAACGGCTAGAGTAGACAAATCCCTGTGGAAGGCAGGAATATGAGGCCCTTGTGTTCCCTGGGATCGATAAAGTTACCTCTAGAAAGCCTGGCACATTCCATACAGGTTGAGCCAGGCACCACAATGAGACAGGAAGTAAGACCCAGCAGAGGCACCATTTTTCACCCCCACCTAACACCACTTAACTTTTCTCAGCCTCAGTTCCTTGTCTGCTAAGCCAGGAAGGAGTCGTTAGGAGAAATAATGGGTCAGGTTATGTTGATGGCATTTCAATAACCATCTGGTGCTATACACCAACTATTCTTATTAAGGCAAATATGCTCATTAGAGATCTACTGAAAACTAACTCCCAAAGCAGTTTCAAATTAGAGAGGTCACCCCAGGCCACACTGATAAAATCGAGAACTTTTTGAGTGTAGGAGTCTTTCAGCCAGATCATGAAGAATTCTTTCCTTCCTTATCAGAGTTAACAGCATAATATTAAACTTCTGAGGGCTTACTGTGTGCCAACAACAACCGCCGAGCAGTCTCCATGGATTACCTCATTGTACGAAACCCTAGTCTGATTCTAGCAACTCAGGAGCTGCAGGTCCTTGGGAAAGCTGTGGCATCTGTTTCTCTTTCTCCACATCTCTAAAATGCACATAACACCTACCTGTCTACCTCTGCAAACTGAGATACTATTTACTAGCAAATAATTCCCTTGCAGTTCATTTACCCTTGTATTTCCTTATTTGCAAAAGCTCCAATTTAAAACTGCATTTGGATTTTTCCCAAAAAATACAGGTCTATTATGTTGCATTTTCAGTTGAATAGAATTTTTTTAAATAGCATGTAGGGTGAAGAGAGAAAGAAGGGGAAGTTTAAGAAAAAGGGAGTAGATTATAAAACAAGATCACTAAAATCTTATTTTCTTTTCCCACAGTGCAGGGACTAGTGTTACGATATTTTTTTAGAACACAATCTCAGGAAATTTATAGATGAATATCTAGGAACTAAGGGATCAAAAAGGAACAACATGTAGCAAAATTTCCTAAATATAAAATCACCGATAACCTTATATGGCAAACAGAAATTCCATGATGCTAAGTTTGGGGTCCCCACCTTTCAAGGGAAGATAAGAATATACCTATTTATGCACCTCTAAATATATTTCCATTAGGTGTTGTAGGAATTCTCTGAAGAGTAATTAGTGCTAAAACCAGGGTAAGAGGCTTTAGAATTACCATAAATTATAATGATAAGATAACATAAGAGACTTTTCCTTTATAGGTTTAGAGTCTAAATCAGTGTTTCTCTATAGCTGCATTATTGACATTTTGGGGCCCCAAAATTATTTATTGTAGGGGGCAATCTTGTGTACTGTAGGACATTTAGCAGTATCTTTGGCTATAAAAGCACTAAATACCAGTAGCAACGCTCCCCTCAACCCACCCAATGTGACAATCAAAAATGTCTACAAACATTGCTGAATGTCCCCTGGGGGCAAAATCTTCAGAAAGTAACTCACATCAACTTTGTTTTTCCTTCCTTCTTGTTGTCTTACGTGTCTTAGAGTTCTACAGAATTTTTTGGCCAAAACCCCATAAGTAAAATATACGTGTCTTAGTTGTCTTTGATTGCAACTTCACCTTGAATCAACGTTCATTTCCTGTTGCTACTGGCAGTAGACTCAATGGCTTAATCATATTACAAAATTATAGCTATATACCATTACAAATTCTTTGTCATTAACAGCTTCTGCCAAGAGGCATCATAACCAAATTTTCAAATGTCACAGGACCATAAGACAAATCATGCAACACAAAAGCACATGTGAGAAAATGACTGCCACATACAAAGCGTCTTACTAAAAGTAAAGTGAGAAGTGTTAAATGCCAAATAAAAAGCAAGCCAGAAATGAACAATCTAAGCCTGCAAAAGGTGATGCACATTTCTCTGTAACCTGGTTCTTACCAAAAAGAAAGCATTCGTGTTATAGGCAGTTATTCTTCCATCACAGGATGTTGAGCAATAATGATTTTTCCAGGTAAGTGTTCCAAGCTTGACAACATACACGATGTCCAGAGGAATACCACCCAGACATATCACTTGTTTCATGTTTATAATCATTCACAAACATGTTTATAAACATGAGATGAATTCTAGATTAAATGTCTATACTCAATCCAATTTAAATCTTTTTTTGTTTTCACTGCAGATCAATTTAAGAAAAACATTGGTAACTGAGAGAATTTTTTTTAATCCCAAATAATATATTTTAATTGCAAGTGGTCTAAAATGCACTTCAGTTTTCTGAAGATATATCTGTGTTACTTTCCATTATCTGACAAGTCATGCATTATTCAACAGTCTCCATTTACAGACAACCTTGCTTTATTTGTGTTACCTTGGCAGTAAACGGCATGGGGGACAGCCTGTAAAACAAATAGCGTACTATGCAAGCAGCAATCCTGAAACGGTCTACAGAAGGCATTTGCTGCTGCTGGCTCTGGCCCAGGAAAACCCTTAGCTTGCTGAGCCTCAGCCTTTGGGTTTTTCTCTTCTTTCCTTAACCCAGTCATACAGTGTGTTCCTAAGAGGGAACAGGTAGAGCCATTGGAATAGCTGTACAGGTTTACAGTCGCGTGAAGCACTTGTACTCAGTGTATACGTATCCCCTTCAAGAAAAACAACCTGCTTACATTATAAAGCCTTATTTACCAAAGAAAATTCCTCTGAAACTTATCATTCAAAATGTTTGATACTGCAAAGATTTGTTTATCAAGTTAAAACAGCTTTCCCATGATGAACTGAGATTAGCAGATGCTTGAGCGTCATGCTAAAAATTGCCTCGTTCACCTTCCCTGATGGAAACGCTTTAAGCACACATGAGGAACTGGATAGGAGATAATGTGCCTTTGCAAGGCACACTTAAAGCACGCTGGGAGCCTGATTTTTAAAATCAACGGCTGAGAAGTACTTGAAATTAGTTGCCCATCGCTCCTTTACATCTTTGACATCTAGAATGGCTGTATTGCTTTAAATAGTAATTTTTAGTACCTTCCAAGATCTCCACATTATCAAAATTATCCAAAGCTATCAAAATCAGAGAACCTGGGACTTCCCTGGTGGCACAGTGGTTAAGAATCCACCTGCCAATACAGGGTACACGGGTTCGAGCCCTGGTCCGGGAAGGTCCCACGTGCTGGGAGCAGGTAGACCCGTGCACCACAACTACTGAGCCTGCACTCCAGAGCCCGCGAGCCACAACTACTGAGCCCGTGAGCCACAACTGCTGCTGCCCGCGCAACCCTAGAGCCCGTGCTCCGCAACAGGAGAAGCCACAGCAATGAGAGGCCTGCACACCACAATGAGGAGTGGCCCCGCCCCCTCGCCATAGCTGGAGAAGGCCCGTGCGTAGCAGCAAGGACCCAACGCAGCCAAAAATTAATTAATTAATTAATTAATTAATTTAAAATTAGAGAACCTTAGAGATGAAAAGGCTTAGGCAGATTAAAATATCTGACATACTTAAATTTTCTTCTTGATCAAGAAGTATTAGCAGTTAGGTTCACAAAGTTACAGAAAGTTTGATATAAAATATTAAGATGTAGCCAGCTGGTTATTCTGCACTAAGAATGACTAAGTCTACATAGTTAGTGTGTACTAAAAGTAAAGAAGTATTTATTTTAACTCAGTTATTCTAGAAAGGGAAAATATTTCCAGAAAATTATTTTTATCATATTTTATGTCTACCAGGTGACTAGAATTAAACAACAGGACAGTCGCCCCTCCGTATCCGAGGGGGATTGGTTCCAGGATCTGCATCCTCAGATACAGAGGACCAATGTAGACAAAAACTGGGAATTAGTTCTAAATATAGTTCTTGCAGCTATATTGGAAACTACCAATATTTTAATTTTCTTGCAGTTTTGGAAGTCTGATTTGCCTTTATAATACAGCCGTGTTATAAAATTTTACCCTAATCAGGAATCTTGAAAATGTTTCCAAATCCTACTAAGGGAAGACTAATGCCACTCACCATCCCAACTAACAAAGCTCCCCTTGAACTGAGAGTACACAGATAATGCCAACTGCATGCATTCCAACCTCAAAGTAAATGCTAATACTCTTTTTCCATCATAGATATTCTAAAACATAGTTATTTGGGCTTCAACATCCAGAAATGAGAGGTTTGGTCTATGCAGCAATCAGATACCAAAATAAATACACCTAATCTCAGGCACGTGTTTTTGTGACTTTTAATCAACTCCTTAAGGAAAAAAAAAAAAAAGGGCCTGAATTTTCGACTTCTAATAAAACAAACTGTTGCTGTCCTATAGGACTTCATGCACTGGGCACTCAGACAGAAATATTACCATTTTGTTGCAGAATTAAGAAAGATTTCCCATTTTTTAAGTCTCATGCACAGCACAGAGCACCCCCATTTAGTGACATGCCAGGATAGAAGTGCAAGGACGTATTACAAAAAGGACAAACAAAATGCAGATTTTTTTTTTACTGTGAACCACAAAACTTACCCGTTCTCACCATAAATCTTTTGAAAGAGTCTAAGAAATCAGAAAACCAAAAATTAAAAGTCATTTTTTTCCAGTTGTGTTAGTTTCTAAATCAGCATCTTTAAGAGTTGAACTAGAGATGGACAAATCTCAAAAGGTTGTTTCTTCAGTCACATTCTTGATCATGTCTCAAAATCTCATTGATCTCATATCTCAAGGAATTCAGATTAAGATAAAGAATTTCCTGATTCCCTCTGAACCAACAAACCCATTTTTAAAAAAGCTTCCTGTTGCCAGGAACTAATAAGTTAGATTTAGATCTACTAATTTCATTTAACCCAATATTTGTCGATCCCAAAGTTCAACAAACTGAACAGTCATCAAAACAGCAAGTTGCATAACACATAAATGCAGACTCATTATCAAAATGGCCATAATTACATATATGTAAAGTGTAGCAGACAGCAAATAACATTCATGCATTTTAATAATGTTTGCACTGAACTTTAAACCATAAATTTAAAAAGTCACACATCGATAGTCCAAGAAGTCTAGGTCAAAATCAAAATCAAGTTAAATGAAACTTGCAATGCCATATTTTAAGGGAAATTTTTACACAAAAATCATGTACTCCGAAATAAGAGAAACATGGAAAACCAAACAACCAGACTGTTTCAGAAATGCCTGGACGTGAGAATAAAAGTCTGTAAATATAATTGGAAAACATTTTCGTGAAACGTCAATGTGTTAGAATAGTATCATAGTCATCCTTAAGGCCAAGGGCAACATTTGTGTATACACCTTCTTAAACAGGTCTCAGAGAGGTGATGTTGAGATGTGCAAATATGGAATTGCACTTTTTCCACACAAAGACTAAAGGTTTCTCAAAGCAAAATCAATGTTTTACAGGATGCTTCCAAATGGCTCATGACATGCAGAGCTGGGCAATACGATGCCACTTTCTCACACAAGAAAAGTCACACAAGACCATCCATGACAAGCAAATCCTTGCAGAAACACACTCTGACCTCTCCACCATCAGCCGCTTCCTGTGCCTAAGCCTGCTGGCCTCCCGGATGGACTCCCACTTCTGTAAGTCGGCCTCGCTGCAGGGACCAGGGGTGAACCTGACTGGAGGCACAGTACTTCCCAGCTTCCAAGATTGGATCTTACGAGCCAACATGTCATCTTTCTTCTGCCTCCAGGAAGGAACTAACACTCTACAGCTATTACTTTTTTCTTTAGGTGGGCATGTCCTTTCAAGTACACAGAGAAATTTTGCTTGAATTTCCGGAGGAAGAGTCCAGGGTTCGGGGAAAGGGACTGGCTGGTATCTATCTGGGGCTCCCGACAGAGGCACCTCTTTCTTCTGTGCTGGAATGCGGCGAACAATCATATCATCTTTTTCTAGGTCTGGAAGTACAAGTTCACCTTCCCTACACTGCAGTATTATATCTTGCTCTACAGGATCGTCTTGCCCAGAAAGCCTTCTTAAGTCTTCGAAAGCCCGAAGAACACATGGGTTTGCATGGAAAGCCCCAGTCTTTCTGACAAAGAAATCATCATTCTCTAAGTCAGGATCCAGGGCTGGCATCTCCAGGTCATCTGGTGTATAAGAGAGATTCTTTCTGCGTGTTATGAGCCTTGGGCCAGCAGTGGGATCAATTTTGATATGTGTTTCAGAAGACAAGATGTCATCAGAATATGTCTGGAGGGCCTGAAGTAATAAAAACTGACTGAAGCATAGAAAAGAAAAAGGAAGGGAGAATCTTATTAAATTTGGGGAGAAAAGGTAATTAGGTAGCAGACCAACTAGCCAGTCACTGTGGGTGAATTATTTTGGGGGGCCATGGGAGCGACTCTTGCTGGGAAGAAAGACCAGCATTTAATGCCGTAATCCATGACTTTCCTGGATACCATTTAAAGGAATAAGAGCAGAATGTATCTCTCAGTGGGCACCACTGAGGCCAAGTGATGGGGCCAGAACGGGAAGAGAGTGAAGCTCCCTGATACACACAGTGTTCCCTTCCACCCCTTCCTCATCCCATTGGCCACAACGACCTAAGTCCCCTCCCAGAGAAGCAGCAATGATCTTCAAGAGCTGAGCAATAAGCACTTTATGCAACAGGCACAGGTGGTCAGCAGATTAAATAAAATGCTCTGAAGCTTTATTAAAGGCTCCTGTGAATCTTCTCTTTGCATTTTCCCACCAGTCTCGCCTGTCCCAGTGCCTGTCTATAAGTTATTTCCTTTCTCCACAGCTCCACACATAGCACAACTGTAAAATTAGGTCAACTGCCTAAAACGCCTTTTCAAAACGGTTTTCCCAAGAACTGTCTATGCCACATGTAACTATATACTCTCTTGTACGTGATTGTGCTAAAGAATATTTAATCCTATAGAATTTCAAGCTCACATGCTTGTACAGAAAGCACGATGTCATATGTTATGCTTTTGTAACTAAACATTAAGTGCCTAAGTGTTCATGACTCAGCACGTCATGGTCAGAGGTTAAAGTAGCAGCAGAAGCTGGCACAGGTGTCACAGGCCAGACTCCAAGCAGGCGGGCTCATGCAGGCAGGTACACCTGGGCTCATCCGAAGCACCACTAGTTCTCCTGGCTGCATGGGTGTCCCGGGAGTTTCTGGTCCATTTCTTAGCCAGTTCCAGCAAGAGTGAACATCTCTGACAGCTGCTGTCTAGCCTATGATCTGCTTTTTGTATTCTACTAAAAATGGCGGAGCTTCTGTCAGAGCCTGAATCCTCATCGTCAGGGTCTGAATTCCCTCTACCGTGGAGTGACATAGAGAAAGGAAAGAGAAAAGAAGACAAAGAATTGGAGAACGATGCGACTAAAAATAATGTCAAGCTCTGGCTATGGAGAGGACTTTTTACGATCCAGATCCTAAAGTTTAAATTTAAACAGTAGTTTTTTCAGTTAGCAATTCTACAGATGTTGAAGGGAAATTAACCTCTCTCATGAAAAGCACACATAGAATGTACCCAGCCAGGGTACTGAGTGGACACCAGAATAAAAGAAACATGCATACAGACAAACCTGAATCCCTGAAATTCTTTATACCATGGTTTATAAGTTTCCCTTTTTATTCGTTTCCAGTTCACATCTTCTGGGATCCAGCATTTGGGAAGAAACTGATCAAAAGCATTCCCTGGGCTTGGCATGATTGGGCTTAGCTTTCGCACATAAAGATCATCCCTTACAGTGTTGGGTATGCTTGTCTTTTCTTCTGCCTCTTCCAAATAACAAGAGGAGTCTGAAGTTTCTTGTACTGTTGGCCAGTTCTCCACGTTTGTGCCCCAAGTTCTCCTCTCGTTACTGTTCAAAACATCCAACCAGTTAAGACACCACGTGAGCAATTTGTGACACAGAACACAAGAGGCATGCTTTCTGTCTCACAAAGTTTACACTGTGAATGCAGCCAATTAGTTCCCATTCTCATCAGTCTCATCATTCCAGCTCCTACAACAAAGTTAAGGCATTATAATAGCATCTCATTTTAATTAGAGAAGAGCTTGATACAGAAGGGCCAAAGACAACTACAAAATGTGTTAAAAGAGAGAGACAAATTGCAAACCATCTGGGGTGTTACTTTACATATTAAAAATCAAGAGCATAATAGACATTCCAATCCAAGAGAAATTTTTCTGACCTCGTCATTCTGTATAGCCCAGTGGCTAATGGGTCAGCAGGAGAAAAGATTGGTGCACAAGACTTAGGAGAGATGCTTTTCGAGATGAAACCCTCGGGCCTCTTTTTCATTTGGAATCTACGGTTGGCTAAGTCATCCAAAACTATATCCGGCAACCTCCGTTCCTCCTCCGAGTCTGATCCACTTTCAGAACCATACACCTCCTTCTGATAGGAATCTGGATTCGAAAAATCATGCTTTGCTCTGCTGATTTGATGGGAAATAAAAGGATTCTTTTTGTGTCCACTGAGCTCAGTCAACACAGAAAAAAATAATGGAAGAAAGTAACACAGCAGAGCTCACAATGAACAGTGTAAGTCATCCAGGAAGCTGAAAGATAACCAGTGAGCTAAAGGCATGCATCTAAAAAAAGAACCGGCAAATCATACGCTGACATTCTAAAACGGAAGAAATCTCTTCAAGATACGGATGACTAAAAATATAGGTAAGTAAAAGAAATACTTCATTAATGAAGTTTTATGTTATCTGTGAAATACATTTTAAGGACCATTCCTTTTTACCAAATTTAAATATCCTGGCAAATTCACAAAGCAGACTGAATTTTAAAATTCAACAATCAGCTCGCATCCCAGTACCTTGGAAATGTTCGATCGGCTTCTATGCAGACTGGGCTTGCCCAGGTTCTTCTGTTATCCTCATTTTTGTCCAGCTTTTTCTTCCTTAAGGGTGCCGGCACATAGGATGGCTGTCTACCCTTGTTGGGTAAAAAGCGATTAAATGGTAAAGCAGACTTTGGTTCAACAGCCGAAATCCTTCGATATGACATATCATCTTTATTATGGTCCTGCATTTTGAATGTAAATTCAGAATCTGTGTCACTTTCACAACCTATTTAAAAAAAAAGGCACAAGAATTTGCTTTACTCTCCAGATTACTCGTCCAACTGAAACCCACACAGCATGCCTGCTTTTGTCTTTCCCTTGGAAACCCAGTGCTCTACTGCTAACTGCAGGGAATATTTTTAGAAATTTGTCATGAAGTTGTGATAAGACCCATCAGGAGGAACTTGCTTTGCATACTGGAGATGCATGCAGTACATTCTTTCACTGTTGCACATTCTAAGCAGAAAACGTCCCGGTTTATGGCTGAACCCCTTTTCTTCCCAGTCTTCCTTGCCCTCACGATTTGTCATAAAATTTGTTGATGGAATACCTGTGAATAAAATCTAGCAATCAAGTCAAAGGTGCCTAAAACGAGATCTGAATGTAGTTCGAGGGAAACTCAGTCATTTAAAATAAGTCATGCAGTCACCCAAAATTTCTGTGAGGCGAGAGACAAGGGAAGACAAAGAAAGAGATGCAAAAAGCACAAAGAAGTTTGATAGATCCTTGTGAGACCCCTATGAGCAAGAATCACACATTACACATGAGGTTGGACCAAATGACTTCTAATGTCCCCCCAAAATATTAAGAGAACACAGAACTCGAGGCTTTTTCTGATGGTGGTCACGGAAATATTGGGAACCTTGTATTTTGATTCAACATCATTTACACACAAATTTGAAAGAATACACTTTGATACACCTCAAGGTCAGATAGATGCAAACACTAATCTGTTCTCAAAAAAAAAAAAGTCAGTTTGTTCTTTTAAATACATGGGAAGAAATGAGGGTACAAAACATTACAATAGATACGATAGATACAAGCTTCAGCTGCCTCCCATTCTGCCCTTTTCTTCCTGCCTCTGTGTATTTGTTAAGAAACTTTGCAAATGTTGCATGCTTCCCGCCGGAGCTCTCAGAGGCTGGCTGTGCACAGTACCTGAGGACCTGGGAGCTGTGGGCTCTAGGCAGGAGCACACCTGCAGGGTAAACCTGAGTCAAAGGCAGTCTCGTCCCCTCCCCCGTGCCTGGCACGAGTCTACAGTAGTAACAGAGAGGAGGCTACAGGAAGCGGTTGAACACACAGCTAGGAGACCTTGAGACAGGAACAGGGAAAGGAGAGTCATGGAAAGAAAGGAGGAAGTATAGCAGCTATGACCAGAAGGATTAATAGTCAATAATCTCGCGCTTTGTTTTTACTGCCTCCTAAATTAGTACAGTTTTTGAAAATAAGAGAGAAATGTCAACGACTCTTGCTAAAATCTTGTACATGTGAAATTTGTACAGAAGACCCTTCTACTTCGGAATTTTTTAAGCTTTTTTTTTTTTTTTTTTTTAGTCCAGTACAGTGTGCTGCAGAGTAGGGAAATATTCTTGATCTGGTAAGAGATATGGATGAAAAATGCCACCAGCCATATCAGTAAACAAAGGATATTGCGGCCATCCAGCCAGCAGCCACTGCACCTGTCCCCGACTATGCACCCTGAGGGGATTCAGGATGGAGAAAAGCAGGCTACTCGCCCCATATAGTTAAGGTGTGTGTCAAAGGAATGATTTCAGTGAGCCCAGACTCTTTCATCTTTCCATACATAGGAAAGCTTGAAATTCATTAACTTGAGATGTATGGCTTTTCTTTAATTAACAGCAATCTTTTGATGTTCTGACTACCTGAGTGAGTTGTTTTTTGTTTGTTTGTTTGTTTGTTTTGTTTTACAAAGACTCCTATTTATCCCGGCTCCACCCTCACCTCTTCAGAGCAGTCCCTCAGAACTATCTGAGACACTGTCTTCTGGGCTTAAGTCCTCAGCAAGTCTGCTGAATAAAACATAATTCTCAACCTTCAGATTGTGTTTTTGCTTTTCTTTTTTTCAGTCAACAGAGGCTTCATATAAAACTAAGGAATATGACTTTGCAATTCTGTTAACCTAAAAATATTATCTTATCAGCAATATTATATTGATCATCAATTTGGGACTACAACCTTGTAGGTAGCGGAATTTCAACATACTGATCACAAAAATGTTTTATCATCCTGGTGGCCCCCAGGATTTTCTTTTTTTTTTTTTCCTTAGTTGTAATTACCAAGTCTTCACTTCCGCCCTCTTCAGACATGGTCTGCAACTCCCTTCCCAAGATCAGGAAGCAGCATGACAGTAACCCTCTGCTTTTCCTCACAAGGGCCGGGAACCCAACCCAACATATCTGAGGACAGTGCTTCAAGTCACACCACCGGACCGCTGCATTTGAACTGACTGGAGTCTGTATACTCCCACACGTCTTCAATACGGGTCCCTTTTATTTCTGTTGGTCAGATATGAATTCAAACATCACATGTGTTAGGTTCTTCAGTCAGGACAAAGTAATGTAGTGGGTTGAGAATTTCAACCTCTGCTTTTACAGCTTTAATCACTCAGATGAATTATGAACTCATTCATTTCCTTAAAACTATTATAAGAGTCATCTGGGCTATGAAAACATTAAAGCTAGACAGCAAACAGCCAACAAATACAGCAGTAATTGTAAAGGTTAACGCAAATAGCCATTCACTTTTTAAACGTCTAAATGCCACGACTACTCAAAAAGCTAAAGAATTTGGGGTTTTGTTATATTTGTGGATTCATTCTATTTTTGAAAAACAAATTCATTGTACATTGCTTTTATGTAAATTTACATTAAAAGAACAAAAGCAAATAAAGGTTGAATTCTAGCTAATGATTGCATGCTGAAGCATTTAGGACACGTGTAATGTTCTCTGAAGTGCCTCAAAAAATAAGATGGATAATAAATGCATAGAGAATGAGAGCTTGGTATGTGATAAAGCAAGCACAGTAAAATGTTATGGTAAAACTAGGTGGCAGGTACATGGGTATTCATGTAAAATTCTTCCAACTTTGCTGATGTTTGAAATTTTTTATAATAAAAACATTAGGCCGCAAAAAAAAAATTAGGAAAAACACTTAAAATAAAGAATAATAATCAAAATAAACAAGCAAAGTAAACTCTCTAACAATCCGGCAAAAACTCACAACCAGAACTCTCAATTTTTCATGCTGATGGTGGAAGCACAGAAATAGTTCAAGAAACTTCACTTGTGGTTTCAATCTAGTCAATTTGAATTGTGAGAGGCATACAGTCAGAAATTTCTGACACCACCCAATAGCCAGGGGAAAAAGACTTGCGTTTAAATAACAGATTTGACCACAATATTGGGATTTTGAAAGAAAGTTCCCTCCCACAACAGAAACTTTCATTAACACATTCCTTTCACACTTGTCCTGGGTTTACTCTGACCCTGACAGACGCAAAAGATGTTTTCTAACACAGTGCCAGTGTCGTTACTTAATCAAAGTTTAGCATAATATTCTATCATGACAGATATCAATCATTTCTTTTCTTAGGTAGAGATAATTATTAAAATATTTTCCTGTTTTTTCTTAGAAGTTTTGTGTTTTTTTTTTTTATCTTTTGCAGAAAAGTAAGAAAAGGAAAGAAAGTTTATTCAGGAGCTAGAACAGACTTTTATAGAATCTTATTTACTTTCTTTCTTATGTTTAGATATATCAGTTACTAGGCCTCAGAGGCAGAGATTATTAAACCCGAATCTGGAGAGAAAAGAATTAGGATAGATTATCGCTGATAAAACAGGTCATAGTTAACTGTCTCTTCCCCAAACTCCTCTAAAAACAGAAGATTAAAAGAAGTGAACTATCACCCCTCTAGTGGCAATATAGTGAGGAAGGAACAAGAGAGACAGAAAGAGAGACAGAGAGAAAGAAGGAAGGAAGGGAGGGAGGGAGGGAGGAAGGAAAGAAGGAAAGAAAAGACACCCCCAATTATATTTCCATCTCTACAAAAATATACTTCTCGGCGAAATTTTTGCCTCAACAGTTTCACTCCATTTTTCTACTCTCTCCAATTCCCAATTTTCTCTCAATACACAAAGAAATAAAAATAAACCGTCCAGTCCAAAACGTAACTCACCTTCACGTGCCCCCCTCAACGTGATATCAGAGGAGCAGCTTGTGAATGACCTAGACCCCAAAGAGTCCAAGCTTTCAAATGAATCTTCTCTCTTATAGTTGCCTGGAGGAGCAAGAAATTCTCCACGCTCAGCGCACCAGATATCACCGTAACCACTGTCTCTGCCACTCCTCTTCAGGAAGCTGGACTCTTCAAGTGCCTGAAGAACGTTTTTTAAAGACTTGTAAGTTAGCATAAACTTCCAAAAATGTAATCAGTTATCACTTATTGATTTGCAATAGTTCAAGTTGTGCTGCATTTGATAGGTGAGGCAATGAGACTGCCCCATTAAATATCAGAAAAAATCTGATAAAAATCAGAATATAAATCCGTAAATGTTATCCCACAACTAATACTTGGCACTCATGTGACTATATGGAGGTATTCAATATTATTTAATAAGGTAATAATAAGGGGGGATGTTTTAATAAAAGAAAAGCTAATAATTAGAGTAACATTCAAAGGCTAAAATCAATTATTATCTACAGTTTTCTGGCAATAAACATGAAAGGAGGCAATGAGAAAAGCCAACCTTAATTTTGATATCCAAAAGGAGAAAAGTTAATAAGATTATATTCAGCCTACCTCCAGGAAATATTAGGGCTCATTTTTATTAAATAAACAAAAAAGCCATAACAAAGTTCTTTAACAGAAAGAAAAGTTTTAAAAGAGAGAGGGGCAAGAATAGCAGGCGTACACTTCACAAATTCATTTATTTTCACTCAAAACCTAGATGTGAACCAAGGAAAGTAGACTTGTTTGTTGAATATAAAACATTTTCCCTGGATCTAAATGAAATACTTGTTTAGCTCGTATAACAGCTATATAGAAATATGTAAATGTTATTAACCATAGGTTTGTAAATCATATAGAACTTACTAAAATAAGCATTTTTAACTAACATTCCTCTAGGAAAGTTAATAGCAAAATACAACTGGACTTTTTAAAATTAGCATGTAAGTAGAATTTATAAAGCCTTTAGCATAGTTCTAATACATACTACTCAATGAATAGCTAGTAACTATAATTTTTTTTAATATGGTGAAGGTAATTTTGTTACTATAGTAAAAATCAGAAATGTTACTTTCAGGTGATGATACTAATACAGAGATAGGAATTCCTAGGTTCTTTTTTTTTTAAAGCAGAGGGTTTTCTTTCTTTTTTTTCTTTAATTTTATTTATTTTTGGATGCTTTGGGTCTTCGTTGCTGTGTGCGGGCTTTGTCTAGTTGAAGCGCACGGGCTTCTTATTGTGGTGGCTTCTCTTGTTGCGGAGCAATGGCTCTAGGCACGCAGGCTTCAGTAGTTGCAGCACGCGGGCTCAGTAGTTGCGGCACGCAGGCTTAGTTGCTCCACAGCGTGTGGGATCTTCCCGGACCAGGGATCGAACCTGTGTCCCCTGCGTTGACAGGAGGATTCTTAACCACTGCGCCACCAGGGAAGCCCCAGGAACTCCTAGGTTCTTTAACAACCAAATGTAATATGTCAACTTTCATTAAATCATTATTCAGAAAAAAAGCTATGAAAGAGAGTTGGGAGACAATTGGGATGTTCTGAATATAGACTGGATATTAACTAATGTGGAATCCATGACTGTTCTTTGGTCTAGTAGACATCACAGGTATATGGAAGAATATTCTTACTGTTAAGAGATGCATGCTGAGTATTTAGGGGTGAGCTGTCTGCAATTTACCTTGAAATGATTAATTAAAACACAGATAGATACATAAATAAAGCCAATATGGGACATGTTTAATGATTAAATCCAATGGAACACAGGTGGGTATTTGTTGTACTATTCTTTCAACTTTTAATTAGGAACATTCTCAAGATATGATAAAAAGCTGAAGAAAGAATGTTTACAATGAATAATTAGCAGCTGTCTCAGGCATACTTTTGGCTAAGACTGGATGTTAATTCGTGGTTGAATTGTTTGACAAATGTTTAAGTGCCAGTAGGGTCTAGTAGACTTATGTGAGATTTCATATATTTCAGACGCCACACACACCCTGGAATTAGAGTTGACATCCTAGCATGAAAATGCAAGTGCCTGCTTTGTACCCTATTTCCAAGCGGGTAGGGAAGCTGGGCTTAGTGCTGGTACCACCAAAATACTTCTTAAAAAATATAGGTTTTAAAATTCTAAGTAAATCTTTAGATTTACCAGGTTTCTTAGACACACACTTGTTGAAGTCTTAGAGTTCAACTCAAGGAGATGATTTTTGACCTCGTAAGTGTTAAAGATAATGATGATGTGCCACCATGGTTATAAAAGAACCTAAGTTTGGCCCCGTTGCCTGGTTCCTCCCCCTAACCCCCACCAAGGACTTTACTCTGACAAGTCACCTAAAATGAGTCACCTACAACTTATAGGATGACTAAGGGTCAACAGCTTACTGCAAGTATTTTTTTTAATATATATTTTGGATTGGCCATTAAGCGTTATCTAGTTAAGGGAGAAAAGTCTGATGAACACAATGATTTTGATTTTAACAGAACAGATGCAAAACAGCTCATATATTCACGCACCTCTTATGGCTCTCCACACTCCACAATAATGGAACGGAACCACAACTATAGTTTTACCTATGAAAATTCTTTTTTTTTTTAATAAATTTATTTATTTACGGCTGCATTGGGTCTTCTGCGTGGGTCATATGGCTGCATGGGCTTTCTCTAGCTGTGGCGAGCGGGGGCTCCTCTTTGTTGTGGTGCATGGGCTTCTCATTGCGGTGGCTTCTCTTGTTGCGGAGCATGGGCTCTAAGCACACGGGCTTCAGTAGTTGTGGCATGCGGGCTCAGTAGTTGTGGCCCACGGGCTCTAGAGCACAGGCTCAGTAGTTGTGGCGCACGGGCTTAGTTGCTCTGCAGCATGCGGGATCTTCCCAGAACAGGGCTCGAACCCGTGTCCCCTGCACTGGCAGGCAGATTCTTAACCACTGCGCCACCAGGGAAGTCCCTGAAAATTTTTTTTTATCTACTCTGATTTTGATACTGGTGATAGGAAGCAGCCTCGAATAAAGCATTCCCAGCACAAACACTCTACTAGGATGATTCAACCTGAGTCAGACTGCCATAAAAAGAACCAAAGGCTGTAATGAGAACACTCATGCAAGAGCCAAAGTCCTATGTTATTTTTAACTGGATGTTTTCTTAGCTGAAATACCTGTAAGGCAAGGCTTTGCCCTTGCTCAAATCCCTGCCACATTCATCCTTCAGAGCCTTGCCCTCCTCTATTGCACTGACCTACCTGTTCATCTGTCTACATCAGAGGGTTGTGCTGTAAGGATGGGTCATCAGCCTTGTATGAGTGTTTTCTCAACAACTAGTACAATGCTTGTGCATGGTATTATCTCAACTGTTATCTGAATTAACTGTTTTAAGGAATTTAAATAGGGTATTATCAACTCTTTACAATTAGAAAATAAAAATCCAGAAGGAATACCTTAACCTTCTAGACTATAATCCCATCTCCCTATAATGTATGTGGCTGGGTTCAGGCAAAACTATTTAGAGATCAGAGTAGTTATAAGGCAAAGTGATCATTTTCATCCTAAAATTTCTATCTTCCAATTATAGTAACTAACATTTATTACATCCTTACAATGTGCCAGAGACTAATGTTAAATGCCTGATTAATCATCATAAAGACCCATCAAGCAACTAATATTAATTAGATGATCATATATTATTTTGATGACATATTTTCTTCTGCACACAGCAGATTCTCCTGCATAAATACCCCCATAGTGAAGTTCATTTTCCCATTTGAATATTATGAGTGAAGATTTGGCCAACCCTGGTCAGCGCTGGCACTTGAGATATAATGACTCATGGCAAGACAGTAAGATAAAGAAATGAGTAACTTCCATACATTTTAATAGCCCTGAAGCACCTCTCTATTACAGGTTAAGTTCATAATGAATATAGAAAGAGTTAGGTTATATAAAGTGCCTAAGAAAGAAAGTAAATTAGTATTTTGCTGAGTTACCTAAAATTAAGAAATAAATACGTATACCTATATCATATACCCTGGAAACTGCTCTGAAATACTTACTCACTCCTTGTGGTGGCTTACAAAGCCAGCAAATGAGTAACAATCCTCTCCACCCATCCCAATCAGAGCCGCCATATATTATAGAGGGAGGAGAAGAAGGCAGAGGGCATGTGGAAAAAAGAGACGAAGGGGAAAGGGGAAGATGAGAAGTAGTACTAGTTAGAGTAGTTGTCTCATATAGATAGAGTTTCCTTACCTTAGTCAGAGCTTGTCCTAAAAGATTCTCAAATGCTTTCAAATTAAGATAGGGACCATTATAGTAGGGGTTACTTTGTGCTTTTCTTCCCAACCAGTACAAAGTTATCAAAACCTTAAAAAAAAAAATTCCATGAAACAACAAGATCAGTCTATTTAGTAACTAATGGCAAGCTCAAATGCAAGTGAGCACTCTAGATAAAAGACAGTATCTATGGTTGAAAAGTAGATTTTCTTTTAAATTATGTAAAGGAGAAGGGTCACTAAAAATGTTAATTCTTCTTAGATTTCCATCTCTGAGCACATTCTCAGAGCGAAAGCCTAGACCCCAACAGGTATTTATACTCTACCGGTACACATGAAGAAGGAAAAAATTTACAGTAAGAAAACATAAATTAAACTTTTAAAGTAATAGTTTTCCAACAATCTTACAGACTGCACACTTAAAATCAAAAATTCTCAGCTTCCCTAATAATGATATTGAGCTCTTATGTTTTTCAATAAAGCTGTCACATTTTTAGAAATTCTTCAAATATGCAGAATATTATAGATATAAGTCTACATTGGGCAATTGCCCAGAGTCCTTAAACGTTTAGTGTTTTTCCTTAAAGTCTGATTTTGGTGGTTTCTGACTTGCTCTCCTAAAAATCTTATAGCCTATTCATTTGCCTTTACCACATTACTAACATGTAAGGACCCACTCCCTAGATTTAACCCACCTTCTTATACTATGAGGTCAGAAAATACATGTTTCAACCATATTTAAACACAATTAGAATTTGTTTCTAGCAAAACTTAGAAAAAGGATAGAGAATATATCAGATATTTTTAGATCCCACTACCTTTTCACAGAACATGTAAGTAAAAAACCATTTATAATGTCCCATTAAATATATCTTACATTTTTCACTCTCCTATCAGTCTCTTCTTGCCTGTAAAGAAAAAAGAAAATATCCATTAGTAATATCTATGAACCTTAAATTGTTAATTATTAACTAGAAAAAACTCATTTGTATTCTAAAGTTCTACGAATATTAATACCACCTGGAAGTTCAGAAACCTTAGTCAGTATATTATCCATCAGAAGGATTTTTCCATATTCATTGATTTCATGAAATATAATTGTCAGTTTTCTATAAAAAGCAAGGTTGTCTTTTTTTCATTACTTTATTCATTACAGTCTGATTTTTTTTTTTTTTTTTTTGCAGTACGCGGGCCTCTCACTGTTGTGGCCTCTCCCGTTGCGGAGCACAGGCTCTGGACGCGCAGGCTCAGCGGCCATGGCTCATGGGCCTAGCCGCTCCGTGGCATGTGGGATCTTCCCGGACCAGGGCACGAACCCGTGTCCCCTGCATCAGCAGGCGGACTCTCAACCACTGCGCCACCAGGGAAGCCCCAGTCTGATTTTTTAAATGTGTTATTTGCATTTATAAGTTTTCATTTTAAACAATGTTTAAACCCAGTCAAAAGGGGGAAAAAATCAATGCGCGCTCACGGCAGAAAAAAAAATCAGGAAATGGGGGAAAAAAGCCTTAAATAGGAAAAAACAAAAGTAATTTTGCCCTGAGTTTTCTTTTCCACTTTGCGTGAGGGATTTTTCACTCAAGTTCCCCAGAGAAAATTGCTCAGAGACCAAACCCTGCAGATGTTGAAAAGTGCAGTTTAAAACATAGCCATGAATCTCTGCCTAAAGAGATTTCACTCTATTATAAGCATCATGAGTTTTCCCCCCACTTGTAAAAGGGCATGACATTTGTGGGAAAAGTTAAAGAGGCAGATGTCACCGCAACGTTGAAGACGAAAAAACATAAGCTAATTAACAAAGCGATGGATGGCCCTAAACTATTGGTGCTTTCCATCAGACTTAAGCAGGATCATTGCTAATTCAGAGAGATGCAGGAGCCTGAGCTAGATGACCTCCAAGGTCGCTTTTCAGTCTAAGAGTCATAAGTAGTACATTTATAAGAAAATATATACGTATACACACACATCATGTGTGTAAGACATATAAAACACACATATATAACGTATATACACAGGGAGACAAAGAAAAGGGGGAGAGAATGAGCACAGAAACGGAGACAAACATTTAACTTCACTTTCAAAGAATCCATGAAGACAGCTACAACCATTCCTTCCCATAAGATAAACATGAACTGAAATGAACTTAAGAACAACATTTGCCTCTCACCTACCCCCAAAACAGCATAACAAAAGTAAAATCCACAAACTCTCACCCTACTGTGGAACTGTAAATTGGTACAACTACTTTAATACATTTGGTAGCATCTATTCAAGCTGAATATACAGTATATGCATATTCTGTGATCTAGTACTTCCACTCCTCGATATATACCCAACAGAAATGCTTACAGATGTTCACCAAAAGTCGCATGAGAACCTTTATAGAAGCACAATTCATAATAGAATAAACTGGAGCTACATCTATGTCTTTAACAGTAGAATGGATAAATTATGGAATATCCACACAATGAAATATTCCATAGCAATGAGAACAAACAACCTGCAGCTATATGGTTCAATCTGACAAACAATGGGAAGTAAAGGAAGCCAAACAGAGCACAGACTGTATTATTCATTCAAGTCGAGAACAAAAACAGGCATAACAAAGATATGATGTCAGGAGTCAGGATACTGTTCACCCTGGTGGGGGAGGTTGGAAGTGACTGGAAAAAGGTGAGGGGCTTCTAGGGCACTGAGAATTTCTTATATTTTGATCTGTAAGCTGGCTATTTAAGTGAGTTCCATCTCTAAAGTCTGTGAATTGTACACTTAAAGTACACATATAGAAAAAGATACATACTTCAAAAAAGCAAATAAATTTTATAGCCCAAGTACTTAAATCATAGCTTATCTCTTAAGTAAAAAAGAAAATCATCTTGTAAAAACAAAATCAACATTTTTCAAAGAAGTGGGGGGAAAAAGTCACTAGAAACTGACAATAAAAAAAAAAAAGAGTTATATTGGGAATTCCCTGGTGGTCTAGTGGTTAGGATTCAGCACTTTCACTGCCATGGCCTGGGTTCAATCCCTGGTCGGGGAACTGAGATCCCGCAAGCCACACAGCATGGGCAAAAAAAAAAAAGTGCCAAAATATATAGCCTCTTTTTATATTAATGACCAACAAACACACTTCAGACATTAACCAAAGCACAAAGAACCATCAATACTCAATGAAAAGGATACATTAGGCTGAAAATCACCACACTCTTAACAGTCAATTCAAACCACCCCACTTTTCTCATAAGTATACTGAGGGCAGGAAGAGGAACAGAGCTCTCTTGAACCCCTGACCTCCTTTCCACAGCCCTCTCTAAACGTTTCTAATCCAACACACTCATTTACTTTGTATTATGATAAAGCAATAATTGTAAACACCAGGTATGGCCTATTTTGGAATAAACACTCACAATAAGCAGTGACCTTGGCACTACAACCTTTCCCTCATTTCACAATCCCTTCTGAATATGAGCATTTATAACATGCTCTTGAACACAGTGACACACATGCCAGCCAAATTGCTGTTCTATCACTGAAATGTAATGCCAGGAATTCAAGTAGTCAATGATTTGCTGGAGTCAATAGAGGTCAACTTCTGACACACAACAAACACATCTCATTGTATGCAAGTCAGTAACCAGGCAGCTCCTTTCCCTGCTGTGGCCACAGGGCACAACCCCAAAGCCTTCCAAATAGAGCAAGCATGAGGGCAGAGGAGAAACTCATGGTATCAGTCTCTCTATGAGCCATCCAAGATATTGCCTAACCCATCAGAACCCAAAATAAGACAGTCTGATCTACAAATAGGCTAATTCCCTTACAACAGATATTTCAACAGTTGACATGGTATAATTCCCTGTTCAAAAGCATGGTCTTTGGGTCAGATGTAGGTCCCACTAGCTATGTTCATCTCTGCAATTTACTTAACTCTTGAAGCTTCCATCTCCTTCTGGAGAAACTGCAAATAATGGCCCTTATTCCAGGACATCATAAGAAAAGTACACAGGTATTTAGCAGAGTCCCTAGCCTCATGGTAAGTGCACACCAAGCAGCAGTTATCACTAGACTGTAAGCTATGTGATGGCAGGGCCCAACTTCTTTACCAAGTTACCCACACAGGCTTCTTAGTGACGCCATGCTGGACCCCAATATTTAAGTTGCAACCAGCCTGCCTGACACTCCCCATCTGTCATCACTGCTTTATTTTTGAATTTATAACCATCAACTGCACGCATTCGTTTATTATCTGTCTCGTCATAATCCAAAAGGAATTTTTGTGATTTTATTTACTGCCACATCCCAAGTGTCTTAAGACAGGGTCTACCACCTGACAAGTATGTTAAAATATTTTATTAAAAATGCCTAGCACATGGGACTTCCCTGGTGGTCCAGTCGTTAAGACTCCATGCTTCCAGCGCAGGGGGCGTGGATTCGATCCCTGGTCGGGGAACTAAGATCACATGCCACTCAGCGTGGCCAAAAGCCACAAAAAACAAAACAAAACCTCTGAGTTCCTGGAGTTTTCTAAATTAATTATTTCCATAATTTTTTAAAAAAATGCCTAGCACAGTGCATGGCACACAGATGCTCACCAATACTAATCTGAACACATTTATTTAGCTTACAGAAATGTAAGTCAGCAAGAGAAATCCTGAAATGATAAAAGCTCAGGAGATTCCTATGTGATGTCAAAGGACAGTTAAATTACATTAGCTTACTTAAAACATCCAATTTTGACTCCAACTGTATTGATACTCATAACTGGGCTTCTTTTTTAAAGTTATTTTCTTTAAAATGGCAATAAAAGGAATTCTTTATAATCATAGATCAATAACCCAAAAAAGGCACAGGTTCAAAAACAAAGGGCAGCTTCAAAGTGCTGAGTACAAAGATTAAGTGATGGTCTCTGGGATAAAAAAGCTTCCCAGCAGAGCTCTGAGAGACAAAGCCCAAAGAATCCAAACCTTCCGTGAAACCCAAATTTACCATAAAAAGGGACAGAGATGAAACATTAATAGTTTGAAAAAATGACTATGTTGAATATGTTGCTAGCCTTCTCTGTGTATTATACACTAATTTAAATATTGTTTAATATTCAAGAAATAGCAAGTATGACATAGATATCATCTTCCACTCTGTTAATGGAATAGCTCTGGTAATTCTTCACTACCTGACAAAGGACCAGAAAACATGTGCTCATCACAGAGCTCTAAACTTTCTGCCAGAGGCCAGGAAGAAAAGAGCCATAAACCCTCAAGTAAGCCCATCAGTGAACAAGATCCATCAGTAACCACCTTATCCTAACTTCAAGGTATACTTAGAGTCAGGAAACTCTAGGTGTGATCCTTTCTTTATTCAAAGCTGTTTTAAAATACTCGTACAAATCCTCCATCAAGGAGCACCATCTCTAAGGAAAGGACCAGGGAAATCAAATCCATGTGGATGCTCTGGCTCTCATCGGGAGAGCCCATTCTTCCCCGAGGCAGCAGCGTGGCTAGGAGGGCAGGCTCTGGAGTCAGGCCTCCTGGGTGTGATTTCTGGCTCCACTTTTGGGAGCTGTGAGAATGTGGCAATGCTTATCTAACTCTTTGCCTCCATAGTCTCACCTGGAAACCACATACCCATTTCATTGGGCTTAAGATAGACATTTGAAAAGTACTGAACCCAAGCAGATCAAGTAAAGGAGACACTTCAAGACTATCCTCCAATTACCCATCTCAACCACACAGTATGGTGGAAGGGAAGTGGCGAGAGGACAGGCAAGTCTCCCCACACATAGTATTTTCCCCCTAGAAGAGACATTTCTGTGAAGCACAATTCAAGACACTCTTTCATGTTCTTCTTTCCTTTCCCTCTTTCTCTGAAAGGCTTTGAACAAGAAATTGTTTCTAGAATAAGGTCAAACAAAGAG